CAAACTGGTCAGCTGGCAGGAAATGGTTTTTGTAGACGGCAAGCGTTTTGCCCTTGGTGGAAAGCGCGCATGGTTGACCGCACGTTCAGCCTGAATGGAGAAAGTCTGCCCCCTGGTGGGGAGAAAGTGATGCCTGATTTCAAAGTACAATAAGAGACGAGCTCTTTCTGACCTTTCCAGAACCCGTTTCTGTTCTGAAATGAGCCTGCGGGGAATTTCCCTCCTCGGTGAACAAACTGCCCTCCTCGTTTCAGTTCCCGCCACTCCAGAGATCCAGGTGTCAGAGTGCCAAGTGTGCGACAACACCGTCACCATCGTCTGGACCCTACCGGAACCCGACAACAAGATAGAGCACTACATCCTGGAGCACCGCCGGACGAACCACGAGGGCCCGCCACGTATCAGAGAGGACTACCCCTGGATGGTGGTGGAGGGGATCCGGGAGACGGAGCACACGCTCACAGGTAGCAGGAGGGCAGACATCCACGGCTAAACTCCGACCAAAGTTACTCAATGCTCCTTTGTTTTGTTTTTTTGTTTTAATTCTCAGGTCTGCGCTTCGACACCCGCTTCATGACGTTCAGAGTGAGGGCGTGCAACAAGGCCGTGGCCGGGGAGTTCTCCGAGCCGGTCACACTAGAAACCCACGGTGGGATAACCAAACTAACTATCGGCCTATAATCGATTATTCTGACGATCAATGGAGTCACAAACCTGACACATTCTGCTGACTCACTTAAGCTTTTTTTTATTCAACATTGGAAATTAATTGAAATATGTAAACGACCCAGTTTCTATTTGAATTTTATTAAATTTCTTTTAAATTGCTGTTTTCATGAAGTAACAGCATTCCTTCAGTGAACTCTTAATCATTTATAGCAAAGGACTCATCTGCAGCTAAAAAACACTTAACATTAAAGCTCAGCCATTTCTGTTTGGCTAAGCATCAATACCCGCTGATCTGATCTGTTTATTATTTTTTCCTTCAGTCCAATTAATAATTGGATAGCAAGAGATGGTTCAATGACATGGGATTTGTAGGGATCCGTGTATTTATTTATTTATTTTTACAAACTTTTAGTCATATGAAGCTAAAACTTTGGGTAGAACATATTTATAAAGGTTTTTTTTTTTGTCGTAAGTGTAAAATTTATATATTTTTTGTTTTCTTTCAGGAAATTTCTGCATACTCCAGTTAACGATTAATCGATTACTCAGTTAGTAGACGGATTATTGAAGTAATTGTTTCATCCCTAATGACCTCAGAAATGCTTAGAAAGTTCTCCTGTTGGAGCTGCAAATTCCCCATCCGTTCAAAACCTTCTTACTGCCGGTCTACGCAGCGTTCACCTTCAAGCTGGACTCCAGCTCGGCGCACCAGAACCTGAAGGTGGACGACCTGAGCGTGGAGTGGGACAGCAGCGGAGGAAAGGTGCAGGAAATCCGCAAAGAGAAGAACAGAACCAACTCCCCTCTGCACTCGCCCGCCAGGTTTGTGTAAGACTCTGCCGCTGCGCGCCAGGAACGTTTCAGTGTTTCCTGTGAGGGTCTCCAGCATCCGTGTCTCGTGCGAGCAGGTCGGCGCTGATGTCCCCCAAGAGGGCGCCGACGGCGCGGCCGGGCAGGGACAGGTTCACCGCAGAGTCCTACACCGTGTTGGGTGAGAGGAGCGACACACGGCTGACGAACGTGGACAAATGTTTTTGCATGTCTACATTCAGGCTGATAGGCATGCAAAGCGCTTCGCATGATAAAAAGACGCAACACAATGAACAAGCAAAACTGAAACGGTGCTGTTCAGTGGCAAAATATTTGCTTCACAAACTGGGACCGTAAACATGTAAATGTGAGACAGCCAAGTTCCTTGAATCCTCGGATGAATCCTTAAAAAAAAAAGTGGACGTCCAGAAGAGAATTGATCTGTGTTCCATTTGTAATTGATTACAAAATCAAACAAAATTTTGTGACAATCGATTTTAGAGCAAAATGAATCCATATCAGTTTTGCTTGATTTTGCTGGGGAGAGCAGGTTGATCTCAGGTGACCCCTGCAAACCTTTATTTATTTATTTTTTAAATCTTTAAAACGATAGCGGCACAAACAAGACTTTTTTTTTGTTGTTGCACATGTTCACATGAACTACGCTTAGGCTTGTGTGCATAACATGAAATGGGTCCGGGTATTTTTGCATTATACGTGGTGACGGATGTTTCTCGTCCGGTCAGTTGCCTCTGCAGCTCTAGAAAGGCGTTGATCGTCCGTTAATGTCCCCCTACAGCCGACACCATGATCGACGCCGGCCAGCAGTACTGGGAGGTGAAGCTGGACAAGGAGAGCAAGGCGTTCGCCGTAGGCATCGCTCTGCGGAGCCTGGGCAGGTTCGACCAGCTGGGGAAGAGCAGCGCTTCCTGGTGCATCCACCTGAACAACTGGCTGCAGCAGAGCCTCACCGCCAAGCACAACAACAAGGCCCGCACCCTCGACTGCCCCATCCCCAACACTATAGGCGTCTACGTCAACTACGACGAAGGTGAGAGCGCGGCGAGGAGTTTAGCTGGGCGGGCAGTGGAGGACACAGTGAGCAGGCTTTTAATTTAATACACAAGTAACGTTTCAAAAGAAATAACCACACTTATTAAAAAGAAAATAGACAATAAAGATGCAAACAGCGACATGTAGGAAATGCTGAGCAGCTATGCTCAGATTAGCAGAAACGTTAGCTCGTATGTAACGAATGTTTCCAATATTTTAAGTCTGTTTCTTTAAATCAAAACCAATCTACACAAGAAAGAGTAGCAATGGCTCACATTAGTCAAGTAAAAGTAAAACTACTCGTATAAGTTCTTATTTTTTCCCCAAAAGGTTATTTAAGTAAATGTAACCAGTACTACCCACATCTCAACACCCACAACACTAGTAGCCTTGTTTTCGAGCTTAACTCGATTTATTAGCATGGATGTAATCATGTAGCTAATATTATCTGCATCCAACAGCATTGCTCAACTCACTCAGCTTGTTTGGTTAAAAAAAAAAAAAAATCGGTGCAAGGATCTTAGCCTTTTTCTGGTTTTTGCTCTGCAGGTGTTGTGTCGTTTTACAACGCTAAAACCAAGCAGCTGATGCACACTTTTAGAACAAAGTTCCAGCAGCCCGTCATCCCAGCGTTCATGGTGAGAAAACGTTCTCTCGAAGCGTCCGTTGCTGGAGTGACAGATCTGAAAACGGTTCTTGGACGTGCTTCCCTTCCTGCAGGTGTGGAACGGGAGTTTCTCCGTGGTGACCGGCCTGCAGGTTCCCAGTGCGGTCCAGAGCGGCCAGAGGAAGAACAGCGGCACCAGCAGCTCCAACGCCAGCCTCACCTAGATGCCGCCACCGCCACCGGCCTCAGCTCCATCCGGCTCCAGTCACCGCTGCAGGTCGAATCCTCTGCACCGACTGCAGGCGGAGACGCACACAGCAGAACAGCTGCACCACTTAATTTCGGTTGTTTCTGCCTTGCATGATGGCGGAAGTTAGATTTTTTTTTTTTTAGGGGAGCAAACAGGCGATCTGTTCCACGAGTGACAGAATCCGCTGGCTGGTCGCAACGCTTTGGCCCGAGTACGAGTAGTTAATGTCTCGCTGCACATTCATCCAGCTGCTAGGGCGGCGATTTTTAGCGCTGGCCGCTGCTTCCTCTGAACGGTCAGCTGTGCCGTCGGCTGCAGCTTCATGGGTCATGCTCTGTCCCTGTGCCTTCCTTCTCAGGCCAAACCAAACACGTGCAGCCCCCCGGTTCCCCTCTGTATACCTGCTTGTTTCGTTTTTAAAGTCCCGCTCTGCGTCAGCTTTCAGTATGAGGAGGTTATAACTTGGTTGACTCGTCAGTAAACCAGTCTGACCTAAACGACGTCCAGCACTTAAGCAGCTCAGCACTGAACTGGATTATTTAACTGTATTGTGTCCAGATATTTGACGTCTTGCCCAAGGGATGCCACTCAACGGTATTTACAGTTACAAATGATAGTCATCTGTTATTTAATGTAGGTCTCGAGCTTCCTGTTAAAACTTTCCGACGCTAACATTAAAGCCGTGACACGTCCGTCCATCTGACGTCCATCTGCTCTGTTTCCAGTGGAGGGACCGTCCTGTGTGCGTAGCTTGCCGTCAGTGGCTCAGCATTATTTAATAGTCTGTAACTCCTCTCTTATCTGTGAAATCTGTGTGAAAAGCCTTTAAAATAATTCACCTCTCAATGCATTGTTCCTAACTCGCACTGAAAAGCTGTTGCTACAATACAAGCCGTCATTCCCAGTAGGACAAAACTTCAACATTTCGCAGTGTTGGACCACTCGGAGGGAGATCGTTCTGTAGATCGGGGTCTGAAACTCAAGTATTTGGGTTCCTGGGTTGTGCTTTGGCTTCAACTCGGTTTAATTCAGGCTTTTGATGCAAACATATCACACAAGGGAGGGGCGCAGAGTTTAAAAGATCAACCGAAGTCCCAGTGAGAGTCAACTTTTCTGGCAGCAGCTGCTAGAAATGTGAAAATGTTCTGATGTTTCAAAGATTTCCTGATGCAACACAAGAGAAAGAGGCCTAAACAAAGCCATAAGATGCTGCTCCACATGTTATTTCCGTTTTTTCCTGAACTCATCTGGAGTGTTGGTTTCTGAAAAACTCTATCTTGTTCTCGTTGACTAAAAGCACCCAGGAAACGTTAACCTCACATGTTTGTGATGGTTTTCGGGCCAGACTCGTCTGGTTGGTATGTAGAAAACTTGGTGACGACAAGTTACAGCACCAGTTGTTTTAAAATGACTAATCGCTCCGGGCGCAGGTACAGACGAGCAGCCGTTCGCATCCGGTTTAAATAAATGACATGTTGAAGAGCGGCAAAGAGAAATGGAATAAATAAAACATCTAAAAGCCGTGAAATGCTTCGATTACATTTCATTTGTAGGATTAGACATTAAATGTAACTGAAAAATTAGCATTAGATTAATCCAACTTTCCTTATGAATGTACTGAAAAGGAAAGTTTTGACATTTCAGCGATAAAAACAAGCTCGTAAAATAAGAGAGTGACTTTGTTTCAAGGCTTTTCACGCAGAGGTTCTGAATCGAAACGTGATTCAGAACCTCGGGTCGGACACGTCTTCAGCTCTGTGCCGCGACATCCATGTTGTGCGTTTCGAATGGTCGGTGTTCTAGTTCATCTCTTCCTGGGTAAATGTAGCCTGCTTTGCTTTACAGAGATAATTACACTTTATTTCACATGCTGACAACATGTCACAAGTTATTGTAAATAGTTTAATTTTTCCACTATAGTGTATCAGTAATTGAGGTAATAAACGAGTGAGAACATTTTGTCTGTGGTTGGGTTTTTTTTTTCCTCCCAGACAACAGAGAAGTTGAAGCTATAACACAAAAAAAATAAGGTAAATGTGAAAATGGATTATAAACTATACAAGTGATTGATTCACTTTAAATATTTTATATATGTTGCATGGCACATACTAGAAGTTTGTCATATCAAAGCTGATGAGACAAAGAGTTTTACTCTTTACATTCAGAGAGAGAAAAAAGCTGAAATAAGTGAATCCCATCCCTTATTTCTGTCACATTTTCTGTTTTTGCACACGGATTTCAGACAGTATTAATACAATACTGTGTGCGTCGCTGTGTGAAAGTACGTGAAAATAAATCGCTCATCATTTGATTCTAAGAGTAAGAGGGGAAAAAAAAAAAAAAAAACACTAACGGAAAGTCTGAGGCGGCTTAGTCGATAGCTAAAGTGCAAAATGAACAAGAGAAACGAGAAGATAATTTGTCCAACCATCTTCACAGTCGATTGATTTGCTAATAAATGTCCAGAGGAGGCAAATCAATCCAGTGTTAATCTGCAGAGAGGCTTTGCTGCAGACAGCTAACCGAGGAGGAGGAGGAAGACTCCCGTTTGACATCGTGCAGGAACAGATCTGCATGTGGCTCCGTTGTGTTTCTGTCCACCAGGATGGTTGTAGAAGAAGTTAAGCAAGCAGCTTGGTCTTCTGCCCCAGTCTCTGTTTCAGCTCCGACAAAGCTGCGGGAAGAACTAAAAAAACAAAACAAAAAAACAGATTTTTAGCTCTGTGCAGATTAACTTGCAGTAGAAATGAGATAAAGTTAGTTTTTTTTCCCTCAGTGACGATGAATCGGATTAAACACTTCCTCCTTCAGATCAGTGAGGATTATCAAAATTATTTATACTTGCTTAAGTGACAGAACTATGAAACATAATCCTTAGATTTTTACGTTTGATTTAATTAATTTAAATTCTGACTTTGAAGAAAAGAAAATGATTCTCTCATTATTCTGGCATTTAACAGAAGTAATTTTGGTCATCCTAAATGTCCGCAGTTTAGTTTGATTTAATGTCAGGGGAGGAACAAAAAAGGTTCTGTGTTTTTATGCAGCGCTTGTAACTAGGCCTGTCACAATAATCAATTAATCGCATGATAAAACAAACTCAACCATTTTCACTTGCATAATTTAATGTTTTTCTCCTTTTCCCTCAAAAACTGGACGAAAGTCTTCAGTCTGGTGTTTTAGTCTCAACCAGCCCTTATTTTGAAAGGCAGTTTCTGTTTACAGAGACTTCATGATCCTTTTTATTTGTCGTTTCTGTTTTATTTTGGATATTAAAAATGCCTTCCACTTCCAGTGGCAAATGTTCATCAGAATTGAAAGTTTGTTGATCTGCAGGAATGTGTTCTTGCTTGAAAATTGTCTCAAAACAACAATGTTATAATTTATCGCGATAACTTCTGGGACGATTTGTCATCCAGCAAAATTGGTTATCGTGACAGGCCTGCTTGTAACCGGGCACATAACAAGGACTTACTCTGCTTCTCCATTTCTGGATTTGAGAGTATCCTGGGCTTCTCGGGAGCATTTGTAGGGCAAGCGGGTTTGGCAGCCGGTGGAGTTGGGGCAGATGTTCGTGGAGCTGGACATGGAGGTAGTTTCCTCGGTCCTGGTACCGCTGATTACGTAACGCAGAAAAGAGCGAGATGTGTATAAAGGAAAGTATTTTCTGCCGAGTGGAAACAATCAGACGGAAGAACTTACGTCGAGTTTCGCCAGAGGAGCAGCCATCCGTCACAGATGCTTTCTCCACCCCTGTTTGAACACAGGTCGTTAGTCAGCGACAGACGCGGACAAAAATGAAGACCCACCAGTTTCTTTTCGGAAAATAAGCGGGCCGGGTGCCAGGAATGATGCATGGAATGACTGAGGGCAGGTCTACTTACTCTTATCAGCAGCAGGTGGATTTTTGACTGGTTCTGGATTTTTGACTGGTTCGTCATTCCTCGCTTTTACAGTAACTAGAGAGAAAATGTGTAATTCAGATTAGGAATGAAAATGGAGTGACACAGGCGAACTCTTAACAGGGTCTGTTTGTAATCCAGGATCATTTTATGATTGATCTTGGAAAAACTTAGTTCAAAATCTTGACTAATCTATGAAAATGTTGTTTTTTAATGTATTCTATGATAAGAGAAAATGAAAACAATTAACCAGTTTTCATTGTGTACAGCTAAAGAAAAACTTTTTTTCTCCCCCAAATTTCAAAGATGTAAAAACATTGCGTTGCCAATGTACATTTTGACACATAGCAACCAAACCGAGTAAATCCAACCGAGTCTGTAGCAAGACTGTTTTTTTTTTGTTTTTTTTATCTGTGAACATCCAAGTATCATCCTTTTATTTATTTGTCTTTGTTTGGGAAGCTAATTTATGATAAGATTCATAGCTAAATACAGTTGAAGTCTGCTAAAGACTTCAGTTCTGAGCCACCAACAATCCAAAGCACACACAGCCTGAGCTGAACCCAAAATATTCTGTCAGAATAGCCTAGTTAAAGTCCAAAATTTAATGCCACTGAAAATCAGTGGCATCACTTTAAACATTGATGTTCACAGTTGTGCATTAGCCTGTTTTAGTCCATCAAACAAAATCCCAGGAAGCCCCACTGACATTTTTGGTTGCAACATTAGCGAATGGCTACTTTTAGATGGAAGCGGCTCTGTTTGCATTCTTTCCCTTATGCTTATCAGAAACAAATTCTATCTTTTCTTCTGTTTATTTTTAGAGCTCACATGTTTATTGTTGGCTTTTGTCCGTTTCTTTTGTGACGACATTTGCCTTTTAGTTTCAAAGTCCAGAACAAAAGTCGCTGAAAGGTGACGGACGCAGGCCCTGAACGCGTCATCCGAAATTGAATAGGAGAGTGTGAGGCGGACAGAACCTCATGGAAAACCCTCGTTGATAACGAGCCTGACGCAGAGCTGCTTCCGGTAACGCATGAGTTAATCCATGCGAGTGTCGAGATGGGTTTACTTTTCTAAACCAACAACTTTTAGGGGAGCTTCCTCACGTCTGCGAGAACTTACTGCAAGTCATTTTTCCTGAACCTGCTGTAGCTGATTGGAATCACAAGGACGAGACTGAAACATGAGAGGAATTTTCCTTTCTGCTGATTCTCAAGGATGGAAAAAAACAAATGCATTGAAGGGCAGTACCTGGGATGGGATCCTCTGGTGGCCGCAAAGGCTGCTGGGTCCTCTCCCCGTTTTCCTTATCAGTTGCAATAAAAGCTGTAAAAGGAAGAATGTTCACAATTTGATTAGTTCAATAAAAAAAAACAAGTAGAGCGTGTGTGTGTGTGGGGAAAAAGAATAGAAAATCAGTTCAACATACAGATGTTCTTGTCGTAATGAGCCTCGATGTTGAGGGGAGTGAAAGACCCGTCGGTTTTTTCCACCATGTAGGCGACCACGTCATGCAGCGAGTCAAAGTGGACCTGCACAAAGAGCAACGTCCTGAACCGCAGTAAAGCAATCCAATCCAATAAGGAAACAAAAAAGCGCAGAGTCTGCAGCGCAGGCCATGAGCGCACAAACTTTGGAAAACTGAGTTTAAGGTCCCTCGTTTCATAACTTTTTCTAGTTGAAGCGAAACGTCATTCATCTACGTCTTTAATTTACACAACATTTTGGCAGTCGCCTCCGGCTCGATCAGGATTTTCATAAACCAACTCATTCATAGCTTCAGCTATCCAGTGCGTCAGGTTTGACTACGGTTTTATTACCGCCTGACTCCACATAAACAAATGCCACAATAATCCCTTGGAAATGGAGTCACGCTCCTTGAACCTTTTCATCTTTTTAGAAGTGAGAACTGTATTGTAATTGATTTGGGATTTTATCTGTTTTGACAAATAAAAACCTGAAAAGTGAGGAGTGCATTTGTACTGAAGACTCTCGGGGCCAAGGTCTCAAAAGTCTGAAGGCTGGTATTTTTGCAACTCGTTAATAAAAAATAGTTTTAAGAAAGAAGTGAACTGGATTTAGGTCTGAACTTTGACTGAGCCATATAGGGTATAAATCAAAATGCACAACACAGTTATCTAGTTTTTAGCTGTAAATCTACAACAACAAAAGATAATGTACAACTTTTCTTCCATTACACTACAATGGAAGAAACCCACAATAATTATTTTGGTTGTAACATTAAAAGAATCTTTTTTTTTCCAAGATACAGTATCAGCAAGTTTGTGTTTAGACACTTGTCTGACTGCGCAAAAGGGAAACAATATTTTAACAATTATTTCTATGTGGTGAAAACTTAATACAATCGATACTCACAGGTTTGTCCACAGCAATGTAGAAGCCTCCCTCTGGTTTTGGAAGTATGCGATAATGACGGAAAATCGGCCTGAAAGAGAGACGGATGAACTGAATAACAATAACACCACCAGAGGAGAAAATTAGATATTTTAACAGCAACCAACAACAAACAACACGGTCGACTGCAGCTGGAAATGTATGTCTAGGGGAAATCTGGTTGCAGTTGTTGTCACAATAACAGCTGTGAACGTGTTTACCTCTCAACATCCTGTCTGGTGGTTATGGCGAAGGAGCCCTTCTGCTTCCCAGGTCGTAGCAGCAGGTTTCCTTTGCTGGCTTCTCTCTCCAGCAGCAGCTCGGCCTCCAGATAAGGCACCTCGTAGTAGCAACTGCATCGAAGCACAAGAAAACCCCACTCAGTCACTCATTCGTTCGTCTTCGTCTCGTTTTAGAAGTGGCTTTACTCCAGTGAGACTCACGCAGGCATTTCTGTTTTGACAGCAGCAGGAGGACTCGGCTTTGGTTCTGGATTCGTCAGCCTCTCCTGCTCCTTTTGGACCGTCTCTCTCAGGATGTGGATCTGACCCGGCAGAAGGTTCAGGGTGAGGGGTACCTCCAGCTGTGGGGAGACGCGATTTCATATTTAAACGATTGTGTGTGTGTGTGTGGGAGGAACACAAAATGGTGAAATGTGGAAAAAAAGAGCACAGACCTTAGCCACACAGTGGATAAATCCCTTCCAAAGTTCCCGAGACTCTGCATTTGGGGCCTGCAGAAAAAAAAGAAAAAGAAATTGACACAAATATTCAGATAAATTTTTAAAAGAAAATGACTTTGAACAAGCTAAAGGAGTTATTCTGCACGAATCCACTCACAGTAAATTTGATGTTTTCCTTTGTCATCTGAACGTTGAATCTGGCCGCGTCCAAGTTGGGATCTGGGCTGCTGTCGTCCGTCACCGAGATCAGTCCACACAGGTCCAGCTTCTCTACGTACTGATGACACAAGCAAAGAGCAATGAACAACAGGCAAGTCTGGGGAGGGGGGGGGGTTTAGTAGAACATGTCTCTGAGAAGACTCACATCTTCGTCTCTTTTGTCGTTGAAGAAAAAGAGCGTTTTCCCACACAAGCAGGTCCACAGCTTCCGAGATGTCTGCGCAAACACACGAGGAGACGAGTTCAATAAAAAACACACAGCGTGAAACCAACAGCAAAAACATTTGGACTCTGAGCAGAAGGAAAAGGTGAAAAAAACTGAAGAAGAAGGTAAACAACAACAAGGAAGTAAGAAGGGACCCTGTGACTGGAGCAGATACCATCTCGGTGTTTATGAGTCAGCATCAGAAACTATGTGCCTTGTAAATAACAGTAATTAGCCAGAACTGCGTGGACCTAATCCAAATCATGCAACCGTGTCAACAGATCAGTGAGATTAAACCCAGAAACTTTCCACGGCGTTTTTGGGAAGAGCAGATTATCATCCTCAACCAAACTGGCCTCAGGATTCATTTAGTGTAGAGTTTGTGTGTCGCCTGTTTGACCCTTTAACCTGAGATCAGTCTTTGGTTTGCTCCGATCTTTGCAACACAAAGAGCCGACAGACAAGCCATCGAACCAGTTGGACTCTCAACATTACATGCTGCTTTCCTCACAGATAATTAAACTTTCATACACATGCAGTGTCATTTTGTACTATCAAACATTTATTTGTAATAATAATAATAATGATGAGAAGAAGAAGAAAATATGTATTTCAGCTAGTGATGCACATATCTGGCTTTTCCTGGACAAAACCGATTTCCAGTTGTAGGTCCAAACCGTCAATATAGATTTTTTATTTTTACTCATTACAGTGAGGGCTGCACAGCGGTACAGTTGGTAGAGCTGTTGCCTTGCAGCAAGAAGGTTCTGGGTTCAATTCCCAGCCCCGGTCTGTCATGGAGTTTGCAAGTTCTCCCTGTGCATGTACTCCAGTTTCCTCCCACAGTCCAACAACATGATTGTCAGGTTAATTGGCCTGACAATCATGTTGCTCCTAGGTGTGTGTGCATGGTTGTCCATCTCTGTGACAGACTGGCAACCTGTCCAGGATGAATCCCACCTCTTGCCCAGAACATTAGCTGGAGATAGGCACTAGCCTTCCCACTGAGGGACAAGGGTGTAAAGAAAATGGATGGATGGATGGATATTGCAGTGAAAAAGAACATTGATTAATCCACATTTCCCTCATTTTGCATCATCTTAATTGCCACACCAGTCCAGTGACACAGACTGTCCTTTCCATGCACCATGTCTCATTTTTCTAACATAATCAACATTCAATTAAAACAAGTAAGTCGTAAGTCCATTCTTTTATCACCACAATTGGTTTGCAACTACGTCAGCAGCAGTCACAACTCCAGCCTCTTAGTTTTAAAACCATTATGTATCTTTGAAAAACTATCTGTGAACATCCAAGTAAACAAAGAAACAAAAACAAAAATGAACAGATAAACAGAATTGCATGATCTACCTTATCTTTGAAGGACCTTTTCTCCATGTAACCCTCATAGTAAAGGTCTGGCAGCTGGTTCTTCTTCCTCCCATTTCGTCTTGCCATCACTAAAGAGGCAGATCCTTGCAGCAGAACAAATTAATAATACTACTAATAAATGATCTACCTGCAGATCAGATGAAACTTTGATCCAGAGACCTCACACTAAAATTACACCCGGTGTTTTACCTGCCCGCTCTGGTGCTCACTGCATATTAAAGCAGCAGCAGCAGCTCAGTCTGTGAAAAAAGCCCCAAACGATCAGCAGTTCGTTGCTGATTGGTCAATGTACGAAAAGGGGCGGGGCGTTTCGAGCATATCCACAGGTGAGGCTGGTTCTGACTCAGGCTTGCGCGTGCTCACAGCTGGAAAGTACCTGTGCGTGTCAAACCTAGAAACCAGTAAGAAGCTGGAAGGAATGTTTGAAATTTAAAATAGCAGGGACAGGAAAAACAAGCTTTACAGTAAACTTAGGAGTTTAGAGGCTAGTATTGTGTTTAAAAGAATGACTTACAGGAACAGTTGTCCACACAAAGGTGTTGATATCTCTTGTACAGATGTGTCAAAATCTTTAGAACAATTTTTTTTAGGCCAAATCATGATGTCATAGAAAATACGTTAGAAAAATTCCCAAATAAGTTTGAGCACATTTATTCAGCAGGAACAAAAATCCCATTATATCATTGTAAGCTGTGGCACAATTATAAGTTCTCCAAAGTAATCATTTTAAAAAAACTGAGAGTAATTTTTCTTAAATTTATATTTTCTTTTTAAAATGAATTTTAAAAAGTCCCGTCATACATGACGTATGACGTGTTAGAAATACGAAACGACACGGAAACCTAGAAGTGATTTGAAGTTCAGTTTTCCTAGCAGGTTGTTTTGATGAGCAAATTTATCTTTTTAAAAAATTTATAAATGCTAGATATTAATTGATTAAATTTACATATGAAGTTAAATGACTTTTTTAAGACACAAAATTAAAAGTTTGGGACTTGGACTGGACTCACAACTTCCATTTCTTGACTTTTGTTTTAATTTCATAATTTTTCTTAACGCTTATGAAGTTGTGAAATAATAATAATAATTAGGGTAGAGGTGGATCAAATGTATTTTATAAATCTGCTGCATTTAACTGGGGATTTCCTCACCAACATACAATATTTATCTTACCAAACTCCACCAGTTTTCATACTTTTCCACAAGAAAATATTGCATACTTAATAAAGTATTTATATTTATTTGTTTCATATTTTAGCAAAAACTAAAAACAAAATATGAAGTGAGTTTTAATTTAATAACATACAAAGAAGGGGGAAAAAACACAGTTTGAATGTCCTTATTTCAAAAACTATGTGAAGGTTTTAGTTATCGTTGCTGTGATTTAGTTGACCAAACATAAACACATGACTATCACTCAGTGAAAACAATCATTGTCCAGGCTGATATGCTGCACAAAAGCCTTTCATATCAATGTACAAAAATAAACAGTAATGGATTGCACTCAACAAAGCTGCTGTGCTGGATGAATAATGACAGCACGTTTTGTCCAAAGTCCAGTTTGCTACTCACTCTTAGGGCAGTAATTAGTTTGGATCCACCTAATGACTCACTGCCGGTGAGGTTTATCTGCAGCTGCACGTGTTATATTTCTCATTTTCTCACTGTGGGACGTGCAGCTACACCGAATTAGAGTTTAATTTGCAGCAGTGTGCTGCTCTCAGGGGCCCTGCTTCATTTCTCATCCTCTATGTTCTTTAAGCTTTATTTAGATCAGCCTTACAGCTAAAAAGGAAGGTGGCATTTTTAAGCATTCAAATTACAGCAGAGCTCAGCTGAGGTATAAAGCACCACCGAATAAATGATTTCCAACAGCAGCAAAATCAGTTTTATTAGTTCGGTAATTGAGACTATGTATTTGGCACTTTCTACCCCATTCACTGAGCACATTGATAGTTTATTTTTATGCTTTAGGTTTGTGTAAATCCTTGGGAGCCCCGAGGTATAAGCAGCTCAGCTAATCAACTAATTCCACTGGTTGCTTGAAAATAATAATAAAAAGAAAAACTCTTTTTATTTTTATTATCTTCTCTGTCTCTCCTGAGACGACAATAATTGCAATGGGCAAGAGTCCCTAAATTAAATTCCTCTTGGTTTCTCATACAACCTGGTTTTAGCAATACGGATGGATGGATGGATGGATGGATGGATGGATGGATGGATGGATGGATGGATGGATGGATGGATGGATGGATGGATGGATGGATGGATGGATGGATGGATGGATGGATGGATGGATGGATAGATGGAATAAGGATTCATAAAACTGCTCTAGACCTGCTCCTGAGAAATAAGTAATACATAGAGTTTGTGTTCTATCTATATTTGTTTTTTGAAGTGTTTTCTGTTCAGGCTTTCTTGCATTTATTCTTCTGTCATGTCATGTGGGGCTAAAGTATGAAGAAAAGAAGGCATATTTCAAAGTTATTTAGTGAAATGCATTTAAAAATGCATGAAAATGCATCCATGCATGAAACAGCATGCACTTTGCATTGCTCAAAATGGATTGGAGCTTTCTCTAAGTAAGTTATGTACTATATAATTTAGATTCTTACAATAGATATCATGGGGGTTAGTTGATGATTAACCTCAATCCACCCTTGACTGCTCCAACGTCTGACTCCTTGTCGGTTCTGTGTAAAAATCTCCCACATTTTTAGGGAAGTAATTGGTGTTGTCAACACTGCAATAATTTGCTCTCCAAGGTATAATTTTAAGAAATGTAATTAACTCTTCACATAAATAGCTCTCAGGCTAATGCCGAAAAAATTCCCTGTTTCTCAGGAGGATATGCGTTTCCAGAAATGACAGCGTCGTGTAAGCTTTGCTTCTAAAACCCTGTATGTTATTTATAAAAGGACCAGGTCGACTGGGAATTTTTTTTGCGTATTTTCTCCACCTGCAGAAGCTGCGTAGCGGTACGTCACGCAGCGTTTCTGCTCCTCTTACGCAATATGCGCATTGTCTCCTCCTGTCATCTCGGCGCACCACCACCCTGGTTAGTGCAGGGAACTATTTTCTCTCATCACCGCTCGCTCCTAGAGCTAACTGAACATCAAAATGGGGAACAGAGACGACGAGTATGACTTCTTGTTCAAAGGTGAGTGAAACAGACGGAGGTTAGCGTCATTTTAAAGGCTATTCTCAAAACTAGCATGCTAGCTGCGTTATCGTCGCTGGTAAACATCAGCTAACGGTAGCTAGCCGAGCTGTTTTCGTTGCCCGTTGACTCACTTCCCCTGTTTAATACATCCCTTATTAACAGTTACTTTAGGTGTGGCAGTGCTCGTTTTTGTGTTCAGGTCTGACTCTTTGTTTTCAACACGTTTTAGAGAAACCAGAGCTTTTTGTTTTCGGTGAGGAGTCCTGGAGGCTAGTGGTCAGGAGAATAGGACTACAACACACTTGCTGTATTTAAAACTTTATCATCTGTCAAAACCAGACTGTGGTTCCAATCACGCAGTAAAATCTTATTCAGAGGCTCGCATGGCTTATTTTTGCTGCTATATCTTCTAAAACCTAGGTTTTTATTTGCTTTTTAAGAGTTGCTTTGTTGGATACTTGATCCCTGAGGGAGGAAACTCACTCCCTGTCAAAGGAAGAAAGAGGAAACTCCATTGTTGTTTTTTTTCTGTCAGGTTTCTAATTACCTCTGATCACAGGTACTTTCCAATCTGTCACTTCTCTCAGTCTGATGACTACAAGCTCCTTTCTTCACCAAACAAAGCTGGATCTCATCACTAAATCTGTGTCACTAGACCTATTTTTTCTTTCTGGAAGTCTAGTTTCTTGAAAACATGTACAGTATATGCTGCATATCCACATCTTTGTTTATTATAAAACTCAAATGAAGGGTTTCACAGTGAAGCTTGCCTTTCACCCTGTCAATGCATTATTAATATGGGGCCCCAGTCTGCTGCAGCCGTTTGGACTCTGGCTTCAGGATACTGATGACTCGTCAGGATGACACAGGAACAGAAGTCTTGAGAAAGCGTTGAGTCAGATTTCTCGGAGCGCAGGCCTTTGGCAGCTCCTTCCTGCCTGATTCCCAACAGGCCAGAGTCTGATAACAATCCCTCTGCATAGGGAAAGCAGAGCTTTCCGGCACTTTCCACTGTGTGTTTCCAGTCCAGGTATGAGGCGGTGTTAGGCCTTCACCTTGAGTAAAAGTTTCGTTGCATTACCACAAAAAGTGAAAACAATTAGCATTGTCTAATAAGTTTTATTTTTTTTAAGAGAAACTGTAGCTTGCAAGGCTCTCCAGTAGCAGTCAGTGTTTTACTGAATCTGACATTGACAAAGCCTCTGACTGAAGACACTGTTGATTTATGACACCTGCTGTCTTATGACTGTCATGACATGCCAACAGCTCAATATCTGTACAGCAGCGACAATATCTGACGGTAACCTGTCCCGAATAACATCATCAGGTGTCGACAAGCACAGCTGATCCAGCTCCTTTGCTTTGGCCGCTCCTCCATATTGTATAAACAATGTTAATATAATAGGAGACGTTGATTATTAAAGTTGTAATATTATAGTTTTTCAACTACATATCTATACATTAAAGTAAAAATATAGAAAACTGATCAAGTTAGCAGTAGTTGGATATAAAACAATCAACCTTTTTGTCATCCAAATCTATTGAGGAACACTGAGGATATTACAATTACAAACCGATATGGAAACGAACCAATCAATTTTGCCAGAGATCTTTTTTTTTTTACAAATTGGAGTAATGAACTAAATTGATTGCATTGTTTGATAACCTGGATAAAGTACTCTGAGATGACATTTGTTGAGGATTGGATGTAAAAGAAAAACCTCCGAATTAAATCAAAATCAGAACAAAGAACTTTCTTCATTTTGAATCATCAACAACAGCACGTTTTGATGCACATTTTTCTCTTTAAGATAAATAAAAAGTATGAATTATAACAAATGCTTTTGTAATTCCTTTATTTTTTGATTTAAAACAATTTCCTCTATAAAAGAGCTCGCAGCAGCCTTTCTTCACTTTTATGTGTTGCGGTCCATAAAATAAAAAAGTCAGAATTGGCCGGTTAGTCAGACGTCAAAGGAAGTTGGTGTTTATCTTCCTTGTAAGAAATGGAAATATGTAGTGACCATTTTTCAGCCAGCTGACCAGCAGTACGCAGCAACATATGAGAAAGGGGTACGCTCCATACAACTGAAAAAAAAAAAAAAAACTCCCTTTAAAAGCGAGTTAAAGGAAATTAGTTGCAGATATTTATCGCTACAATATAAGTTCTAAAATGTCCTCACCTCCCTTTGTGTTTCGTTTCCAGTCGTCCTTATCGGAGATTCGGGCGTGGGGAAGAGCAACCTGCTGTCCCGTTTCACCCGGAACGAGTTCAACCTGGAGAGCAAGAGCACCATCGGGGTGGAGTTCGCCACCCGCAGCATCCAGGTGGACGGAAAGACGATAAAGGCTCAGATCTGGGACACAGCGGGACAGGAGCGCTACAGAGCAATCACCTCAGCGTGAGTTTGTGTTGTATTAGTCTTTTGAAAGCAGTTGCTTATTTAGAAATATGCTTTCTGGTTAATGATTGTAGCTCAGCAGTTGGTGTTTATTCCTCACGCAAATGAAATCTTCGTCCTCCTGTAACTGTCGTTTTGCAGATTATTTCATGTTACAGTCAAAGTACAAGCCTACATGTAAAATATTTCAGATGAACATTTTATTTGTCGTGTTTTTTTGTTTTTTTTCCCTCCCTCGTTCAATCTTCCTTTGTTGCCCTCGCCAGGTACTACCGGGGCGCGGTCGGAGCGCTGCTGGTCTACGACATCGCCAAGCACCTGACGTACGAGAACGTGGAGCGCTGGCTGAAGGAGCTGAGGGACCACGCCGACAACAACATCGTCATCATGCTGGTGGGGAACAAGAGCGACCTGCGCCACCTCAGGGCCGTGCCCACCGACGAGGCTCGAGCCTTCGCGGGTAAACGACGGCGGGGGCCGCGGCGGAACGAGCACGACCGAGCCGTGCGGAGATATTTAAAAAATGTCCCCCCTTTTTCTCTCTCCCTACGTCAGAAAAGAACACCCTGTCGTTCATCGAGACGTCGGCGCTGGACTCAACAAACGTAGAAGAGGCGTTCAAGAACATTCTAACAGGTGGGAGAAGCGAGACTCTGCAGATTTGTCTCCAGAAGGGTTGAGAGAAAATGAAGGGAATACAGAATCCGATATATTTGAGTATGACAAAGTATAAATGTTGCGATAAGGAGGTTTTACTCATTCAGTCGGACTCAGCAAGGCGACGCGTTTTAAAAATGCAGAGATAAGCAGGTTTAACAATGGGCTGTACCAAACTTTGCTGTGGAGAAAACTCAGTTGAAGTATTTTTCTCATCTACTTCCCAAGCGCTTTCCCCTCCCAGGTCTATTTTTGTGATTAATAATGCATGAGATGCTTACAGTGGGTGATCAGGTTCTGCTGCAGTGAAGATAACCAAGAAAGAAAAAAAAAGGATGGGTAGATAGAAATGCAGAATATGGTTTGATAAGTCAGATGCGAATGTGCTGGAGGTAAAGCTTCCTGATAATAATACGGAATAATCCTCTGCATATTCACTTGGTAAAAAGATGACTTTATTACCTTAAAGTGTAGTTCACAACAAAAGTGCCAGTGTTTTTGCCCTGACTGAAACAAAGAATCGGATTATTTGTAATGAATCGTTTATTGAAATAATCTCCAACTAATTTAGCAATTGATTAATCATTAACTGGAGTATACAAACTCAAAGAGAGGCCATTTTCTGAAGAAAAAAAAACAATGAAAAAACAATATATTCAGAGCATTAATTAAACCAAACCTGGAAAAAATATACATTTTGCATTTTGGATTAAAAAAAAAAAAAAAAAGCTTTTTTGTCTGTAATTGTGTTATTAGAACTTGTCAAGTTTCAGTTTTTAACCAGGACAGCAGAATAATTTGCTTTCAGAAACATTTGAACCATTGCTTTTGAGCAGCTGTCCAATTATTAATCGATTAAACCAGATCAGCCACAAACTGCATTGATGTTAAATCAAGCAGAAAGAGTTGAGCCTTTCACATGTTGATGTTAAAAAGTGTTTTTTTTTAGCTGCAGACGCATCGACAGATGAAGTGTTCACTAAAGGAATGCTGTTGTTTCATATTGGTCAATAAAATGTTTATTTGCTCATTTAAAAAGTAAATTGAATGATTATTTGAACTATTTATATCCATACTTTAATATATTTCTAATATTGTTTAGCAAAAGCTTAAAAGAAAAATCTACAGAATGTAATTTTTTTTCTTGTCAAAATATTTGCTAGCTAAAATAATCTTTAGTTGCAGCCCTAAAATATTTTCACAACTAAGGAAAGCGCTGAGAAATTACTGAAATGTACTCCGACTCTGATGGCCTTTCCCTTCCCATAGATGAGCATTACTTTAACTTAAAAAAAAAATGTTTTTCTTTTCTAATTTCCCGTCTCCAGAAATTTACCGCATCGTGTCACAGAAGCAGATAGCCGACAGATCTGCGCACGACGAGTCTCCGGGCAACAACGTAGTAGACATAAGTGTCCCGCCGACGACCGACGGGCAGAAGGGCAACAAACTGCAGTGCTGTCAAAGCCTGTGACGCTCAGCCTGAAGACACTCACCCCTGCACCTCTTCCTCCTCCTCTTCATCACGCCACCAGTGCACTTTTATTTCCCACAAAAGCCAGCTCCTTTTCCTTTACCTCGTTCCATTTTCTTATTTTTTTTTTTTTGGCACTTTTTCTGAATCTGTTTCCTTTTATTTTGTAGAAGTACTTTCAAAATCACTTGTTGCTCTTCTCTCCCGCCATGAGGGATTTATTTCAGAAGCCTTTCATGTCCATGCATCGATCATGGAGTCAGTGAAGGAACGAAGCCGCTGCCTCCAGGCGCAGCGAGGTTAGGAAATACATTTCAGCGGTCGCCACTAGGTGGTGCTGTGCAAAAACGAACTAAATAAGAGTTACTCCAGCCTGACGAAGCAGTATTATGTATTTGACGGTGTGCTTCTTACTTCCATCTGTCATCATGCCAAAACAATATTCTCATTAAGTATTTATTAAAGAAAAGTTGGCTTCGTTTGTCATTGTCTTACTTTCAGGTGAAGAACTGTGTAAATTTACAATAAAACTCTTGACTGAAGCACTTTTTTTTTTTGGATGTTGTGTGTCCTTTCTGAAAAAAACATTTTCTGCTTTAATGGAAATTATGCATACGTTATAGAGCAGGCCAACCTTAAAATGAGAGGTTGGTATTTTATTGTTGAACAGTGAATGATGGTAAAAAACACTGGAATAATAGCATTTGGTCAAAATCTCAATCTTTTTTCCATTAAGACTGTAGTGTTTTATGGCATTTTTTAAAGGAACAGTGCATGTTTTATTGCAGTTTTCGCTCTGAGGGAGACAAAATGGCCTGGACAGACTTGATGTATCCGAATATGTTTAATGCAAAACATAAAACTAATCCCAGGTTAGTTTGGTGTCGAGAGCAGCTTGTGAATCATCTTCCTGGTGTTTTTATAAGCAGTTGAAACGCTTTTCTGCGGAGTAAACAAAGAGCTGTTTTCAGAAGTTAAGTCAGAAATGAAAAGAGGAAAAACAATTTGGAGGTCTCTGTCTTGCTGGGTAAGTAAAACGTGTCATAAAAGTCTGAACTAAGTACCTCGCAAAAGGCTATAGAAAACTACACTAAGAAAAAATTTTCCACATGTTCCTCTGCATAAAATCCGGTTGTTCTTTGAATGTGTTGGATTGTTGGAAAATGTTTTGAAAGAAAGGAACGCAGCAGAGTTTTGGACAAGTTTAAACCAGTGTTAGATTATAAAATATCTCTCACAGTTCAGCTGGATCCATCAGCTAAAAACGGAAGACTACGGCACAGCTTCAAACCTTCAAACGCACTTAAACTTTTTGCAAGATATGGCCCAAAATGATTAACTCATTGCAGGCCAAAAAACATTTTTATTTTTAAAGATAAAATAAGTTTATTGAGAATATTTTTCTTTATGCAAACTTGAACAGTCAAATATTTTTGTGGGAAAAGAATGTGTAGATCATCGCAGATCCAAAACTTCAAAAGGGTCTCGCATGTTTTAAATTAAAAGAAACATTTGACTCATTTATTTTTGGGCTCGTTTAAAGAAGATTGAAAAAGATTTAGATTTTTTTTTTTTAAAGCAGTAAAAACATGATTTAGATCACTGTTTTGAAAACACTTGATGTATCTGGCCAGGTTTTAATAAGGTAATTAAAAGCAGATTTGGGTGCAAAAGACGACGGATAGACGTGGTTTTGTGGAGATTAACAGGAAAGCAGAAAACCTGGTTATTAAAAGATGAACACTTTGTGTTTTATCCAACATTTTTGAGGAGATTTTCTTTTGTGGGTCACAAGCAGAAACCCAAACGGTCAATATATCACTCAAGAGGAACATTTAAAACACAACAAGCACCAGTAAATGAAATGAAGAAGCTCTGTGTGAAGTCTGTGTTTTTAAAGTGATAAAAGCTAAATGGTTAAAAGCAATTTTTATAGATTAGAAATTTTGCTCACATATCAAGTCAGAAGTTTAACTTTTTTTCATTTAAAAATTGACCTTTTCAAGCAATGGGTCAAAATCAGAGTAAATATTTGAGGATTTGGGGAACAATGTATCAAAGTAGCCTGAAAAGGCCGAGGATACAGAAATGTGTGTTTTTTTTTTCTCCCCTCGTTTGATTTTGTTTTGTACTTCCTGCCTTCAACAACAGCAGCAAATCTGATACTTTGAACTCCAACTAAGGAGCTTAAGCAGAGGACAGAATGAGAAGCTGTGACTGATTTTATAGTAAAACCTGAGATTAGCGGTTTGTTTTCCATCAGGATTAGCGAGCAGACGACCCCCCTCCCTCCCCTCACCTCTCTGTGCCAGAGTTAAAGGATGAGATGTAAACAAGCTTACGGAGCTACTGGGTTATTAAAACCAGAAGACGCTTTTGCTAGAAGCACAACAACACAACCGGCGACACTTCCTAGATTAATACCCACGCAGAATTTATTATTACATTTTAGCAAACAATTCTTGGCTGATTGAAGGTACCAGGATTTAAAAAAAAAAGAAAAAAAAAAAAAGACATCCTGTAATGTATCAGAAAACACCGTAAATATTACAAAGAACTGCAACTCAACCTATGGAGTACAAACAACCCTGTCTCTTTAAAAAAAAAGAAGCAAAAAACAAACAAACAGGACAGAAGTGTTAGAAAAACAAGTGACATTTACATTATTTACAATCTCTTGGGTGACATTTTATGGGTTGAATACACAGATTGACCACAGCGCAGAGAGAGACGCTTTAGGGGAGCGGGTGATGATTTTTACATCTCTATGGCAACGCCGTAGCCAAAATGGGGGCAGTTTTGCATAATTTTCAACGCACTTAATACAAGAAAAAGTCTGTCCATTTCTTTGTTGCTCAACAGACTGGCAGCCGCTGGTGTTTACGATGAGCAGGAAATCACAGCCCCGACCCAGTGAAGTCTCAGCGAGGAGATTAAATGCATTTTTAATAAAAAATAACCAGTGATCAAATATTTTTTTCTGGTAGAAGCTAGTGTAAACATTATTGGAATATATATGTAAAAAATAATAATCAAATACCCTTAACACACTTTTCTCTTGTACAAAATCTCAAACAGAAGCAGTTTGTGGCACAAGATCAAAGAGTTTCATCCGCCCAGTTACTGTAAACTTAGTGTTTAAAACCAAGCTTTCCCTCCTGAAACTGCAACTACACTGCGCTTGGAAAAATAGATCCATCTACAATGTAAACATGCACGATCACTTATGTGATAACAGCAAACAAGGTCGTCTGATCTAGGTGTAGGAAAGATATCTGGATAAAAACTGATTTATGGCATAAACTTTACTTGATGTTTAAAAACTGACAGCGTGGTTGAGATTTTTATTTTTTTTACTGTTTGGACACATTTTTGGTTTCATGGGTGCTTCAATAAATATAAGAAATGTTTAAATTAAATTAGCTGTAGAATACCAGCAGTGGATGCATCAGCCTATATCACAACAGGAATGCTTTATTCTTAAGGCATTGTGTTTGTGAAGCTTTGAGAAACAGGTGATGGACATACTGTCAAAAAAGACGGATGAGTTTATATATATATATATATATATATATATATATAAATCATTATTAAAGGAAAACCACAAAATATTGTAATATCTAGCTAAGTTTATAGCTGACGTATTAAACTGAACCCGTTGCCGCTTTTCACTCCAATTCGCAGCTCCGCCTGCGCCGGCATTTATATGATCCCTCTAGAGCAGATGTGTCAAACTCGAGGCCAAATCTGGCCCGCCGTAGCTTTTTATGTGGCAAATCACATCAATAAATCCCTCCAGTTTTTCACAAATCCTCAAAATTCACCTAAGAATCAACAGATCCGCACGTCGTTTCTGATTTTACTGCAATTTTTTCTCAAAATTGCTCAAAAACATTGAGTTTAAGTGACTGCTGCCACAGCCGATGTCAAGTAAGAAAAAGTTACATTTAACATCACACATCAACTCAAATATCATAAGAATTCCTTACAAATGTTTCTAAATTAGCATCACAAAATGTGTGATTTTGATTACAAAAAAGCCCCAAAAAAACAATCAAAATCCTGGAGAGACATCCATTTGTTAATATTTTAACAGTTTAGTGGGTTTTATCAATGCATTCTGGCACAACCTGCCCTTTAAGAACATCCAGATTTTTGATATGACCCAAAACGGAACAGAGTTTGACACTCCTGCTCTAGGAAGCTCACATTCGGAGAATACTGCACCAAGGTAGGCGTCCACACCACCAACCACTAGACTGACCATCCCAAAACTGATTCCTACAGCAACGTTGAACTCAAACCCTAGAATATGCTTCTGCAATACTACTGTGGGTTAAAAAAAACAAAAAAAACTAAATTATATATATATGTGTGTGTGTGTATATAAAATGTTCTTTTAAAAGCTGTTTTAGTTTCTGTCTCTCCAAATAAACACCGACATATTCAGTGCTGATGATACAAAAACCTTGCTGGCAAAGCCGGCTTCAGCTGGAAAACAGGAAACGCAGTCGAACATGAATTTAAAAATACACCAACAGAAAAATAAAAAAAAATCCTAAAATCACTAATTGTGAGGTTAGCATGCAATGCATAACTGTGCATCTTAGTATCTTTGCTTACAGTAAAAGCCTCAATTTCCACAGTGTTGTTATTGCACAATGTTACATAGTCGTCCCTTACTAGACCGGAAGTTAAAAAAAACAAACAAATAAAAAAACAAAACTGCTGCAGTGAAAAATCTGAGTCGCGCGTTAACTCAAACTCTGGGTTGTGAAATATAAATCAAAAATGGGAGGGTTTTTTCCCCCCCAACCTGCTTCGGTCACAGTAATATGAGAGCACACTCGTGCGGCAGTGAGTTGCAAACGACAGAGAGGCAGGCTAACGCACGTCAACACAAAACACCCCGCTTAGGGTGCAGTTACCGTTTTCGTCACACTGAGAAATCGTCCTGCAGAGCCTTGCAAAAAGGTTTCCTTTAAATACTGGTAAGACGACACACACTTACAAACTGGGTGTCTTTTCATGGCAGCTGGTTACACTTTCATATGTAAGGGTATCACAAATGTGAACTACATTTTTCAGATTTTTGTTCACAATCGAGGGTTAATTTGGGGTTTATGCCTGAATGTGCAACACTTCAGGGTAAGAGAGGTTGCCAAACTGTGGGGGACGATTATGGAAATCCATTTATGGTTAGCAGAACCGCTCATCATCATCATCCTCACATCCATCACGATGAGTCAGAAAACATGTACGCTTCTGAACATCACATGCCATCTCCCAGTCTTCTTTCTGTTTTGTTTTTTTGCATAAACTTTATCAAACATCCAGTGATTAAAAAACCCCAGAAGGACTCGATTTTTAAATGCGTTCCTGCAGAACGCATTTGTCAGATGGAGTGGAAAAAAATATGCAAACAAGGAAGAAAGCAATATAAAGTAAAACAAATTTAAAAAAAAAGAGCCCAGAAGTGCTTCTTTGAAGTCCAGCCAACAAACGTGATGCAAGCTTCCCACACGTCTCCATCTGCTCTCATACTATACTCTGACTGGCAGACTTCTTCAGTTTGTTAGAGAGCAAGGAATGCTGGGAAGAGCTGGACTCCTTGGCTTCGGGAATGAGAAGACGCACTTTCTGATTTGTTCTTCTCCACTCGGAGTAGAGCTGACAGTGGTAGCGGAAAGAGACCTGGAGGACGGAAACGCGGAAGAGACATCAGCAAAAGGGACGAGGTTTTTTATTTTTGTTTGTTTTGTTTTTTTGCAGCTGGGCTGCGCCGGGAGTCATGCTCACCAGGGTCCAGAGGACGTAGATGGTGAAGAGGGCGATGGTGAGCGCGATGAGGCCCACGGCCTGCAGCCAGCTGCCCATGTGAAGGTGGTCCTGAGCCCCCCTCAGGCACAGCCAGCCGGAGATTGCCGCCAGCGGCGTGATGAAGAGGAAGCACACCATGTCGCAGAACAGCGTCCGCTTCTCGTTACGAGGGCCGGGGTCCTGCAGCCACTGTGGAGCCGGGAGGTGAAAGGTCAAAAATGAGAGTGGAAGAAGAGTGAGATTGCAGATCTTCAAGCATAAAGTCCCGCGCAGACGTGTTCACACCCCTACGGAGATTTTTCTCATCACCTAAACAACCACAAACTTATTGTATTTTATCAGGACGTGTGACTCGACAAAAAGTGACATGCAATTGTAGAAATAAGGAAAATGTAAGACATGAGTGAACAATACAAAACATTTATATTTAAAAATTGACGTTTACAAATACTCTACAGTCAAGCAGAGAGAAAAAAAACGGGGAAATTTCAAGTATGTAGAGACGTTACTTCAAAGAACCCGAGAATAAAATGACAACAAAAAAGTGGAGCAGAATTCAAAATGCGCGCTACATTTTTCACACTTATTTCAGCTAAAGTATGACAAAAACATAGGGGGAAAAAAGTGAGAGGAATAAAACTTTTGTAAGGCCAACGAATGAAACGAGAGAGAGAAGACGGATGCAGACGGCGTTGGCGACGGTTACCTCTGTGAGCGGCTTGGGTCGCCTCTCGATGCTGAACTCTGTGTGACAGAGCTCGCAGTAGCTGGTGTTGGACGACGACAGCCACTTCTCCAGGCAGCTCTTGTGCACCGTGCCCAGCGTGCCCGTGCAGTCGCACGGGGACAGGAGACCCTCGCTGCTGCCCCCCTCGTGGCAAATGCGGCAGATGGGACCGTCGCTGATGCAAACGGACAACATTCGTTCAAACACAACTCCTCCTGCGTCCGGAGGAAACCGTTTGTCGCCGTTTTGAGAATGCGTGACATGTCCGGGTCTCACCTTTGTATGCTCATGGGTTTGAGCACGGAGGACAGCAGCCGCCCGTCCAGCGCCGTGACCTGAGTGACGTAGAGGGCCTGGCACCCCTCGCCGCCCGCCTCCTCGACAATCTTCCACATGCCCGCCGCGCCGGCACAGTCGCACAGGGAGCCGGGCAGGTGGCAGCACCCGCCTGTCGTCATGGCAGCCTCGTCCGCCACGTCCAGACGCCGGCCGTACAGGCAGAAGCGATGGCGTTGAGGGTTGTAGGCGCCGGATGGTCCGAGCACGGGGGAATAACAATGAGCGCGAACGCCTGCTGCTTTCCACCAGAGAACAATGACTCTACAGAGAAGCAGAAAAATAAATTCAGTTTGAAAAAAAGTCCTGGTCTTTCTCAGTGGAAGACACATTTAAAAAGGAGCTAAACTAATCAGAAAAAAGAAAGACAGTAATGCATTATTTTCTCAAATGCACCAGATTTATACATCTCAAAAAACTTGAATGTCACTGAAAAAATATTTACCACTTGCTGCAGAAACTGAAACTAATTTACAATATAGAAGAGTGAAATATTTTACAGCTTTATTTCTTGTACTTTTAACATTTATGGCTCACAGACAGTGAAAACTCAATATTCAGTGTGTCAGAAAATTAGAGATTACATAATAATAAGTTGGGGGTTTTTTTTAACAGAAATGTCAGGATTCTCATAAGGGTGTTCATTTCCATGAACTCAATATTTTGGTTGGGCCTCTTTTCGCATGAATTACTGCATAAGTGGCGAAATGCCGAGCTGGAAAATGAAGTCGGCGTCTCAACAAAGCAGAAGGAAGCATGATGTTCTCTAGAATTTCCTGGCAGGCGGCTGTGTCGACTGTGGACTTGATAGAAACGCAGTTGGCCAACACTGCATTGACCACAACTCGCCACCGACTGTGGAAACCTCACACTGGACTTCAAGAAACGCGGAGTCTACGCCTCGCCACTCTTCCTCTTTCATTTGGGTCTTGATTTCCAAATGAAATGCAAACTTGACTTTCCTCTGAAAACTGAACCACCGAGCAGTAGTGAAGATTTTTCTCCTCAGCTCAGGTAAGACACTTCTGACTTTCTGTGTGGTTCAGAAGTGGCTTGACGAATGGGACGTTTGTGGTCTGTGTGTAAAATTCATCTGAGCATTGAATCCCTGAATGGATTTTGCTCCTTTTACACCTTTCCTTCCACCGAACTTTTTATGAATATGCATTTATACACAGCATTCAGATCAGCTTCTTTGGTTGTGGACGGGTCAAAACTCTGAATTTGAACTAAATATACGTCATATCACAATCACAACTCTGAGCAAGTATTAAATTAAGTGAACCAAACTAAAGTAGCTCAAGTCAACCCAAACTAACCAATCAAGTCAAATAAACAACTAAACCAGGAATCCAAGTGGACAAGAGAGGGGAGGGATACATTTTGAAAATGTTATGAAACATAATAAATTTAGGTCATGATCATCAAAATTACAAGAAATAAAGGCTTAAAATATGTCACTATGTGTGACTAACGTAGAAGGCCTGGCATTACTCATTTCTGAAATGAGTGACAAATTATCAGGAATCTTTTCATGATATTCAGTTTTTTTTTCGATGTACCTACATGGTTTTAGGGGTTGTTATTGCACAAATGAGGAGACTCTATTCATTTCTTTTTTATATAAAGAAATGAATTATAAGCATTCAGTAGAATAATGTGCTGCTGCACGTTGTAAATAAAAACAAAATTCATTAGTGAGCAGCTAGAGATCTGGCACAAAAACGTTACCCCGGCTTTACTCTGTTTACAAAAAAAAAAAAAACTGTTCATTTATTTACTGGAAAAGAAAGGAAGAAAAAAAAACCCCAATGCTTGTTTAGTACATGAACATCAAACAATTCATTTATTTTTGACAGTTTCAGTCTTTTTCCTCTCGTCTCCATAGGATTACATATAACACTCAATACATTCATTTTTTCATAATTGCACATTTAACAGACAACTCTTAAATAAGCTGATTATCCTTTCGTTTATAAAAGAAAGCAGAATGTCAAAGAGGGATGATGTTCTGATGAATAACCACATGAAAACATCCACTGGGCTGTTTTCAGTTCCATTTTTTGTGCAAACAAATCTGAATTAAAATCCAAGTAAATGGCATTTTACCAAACATAAAAATCTGTGCTTGCATTACTTTATTATCAAAACAAACACTTTGTGTTTGATCATGCTATATATTTGTACTAAACCGGTTTTTTTTTTGAGTAAATGATGTAAAACCGGGATATTTTTACTCAATATTCCCAGTCCACATGTGGGAAACCATGAATGCATTTCCTGCCACGTCAGTGGACACATTCTTCTTAAGAATTGCTTTGCATCATCTATGAGAAAGCTGGTATTTTGGAAACAGACCAGGGGTTTTCTTTTTTTTTTTTTTCCCAAAGCAGTTAATCTTTTCTAAAGACCAAATTGATGTCAGCAGCCATGACTGAGATGTGTGGCCCACTGATAACCAGCTGCCTGTTTCCAGATAACCCACACAGGACCACATTTACGTCTTAGCAAGCAAATTGGGGTGTCTTGCATATCAATTACAAATGAACATGACTAACAGGAATATGTACTTACTGATCAATTTCAGCCTGGACGTGTATGTCTCACTATTTTTGAATAGAGGGGAAATAAATAATTTTTAAGGAAATCTACTCAGACTAAAACAAGTGGTATACTGAAAAAAAAAAAAAAATGAAGTTCTCCAATAAACCTGAGATCTATGCCAACATATATTAATGCAACAGCATCTCCACTACGGACCAGACAAAAGTCTCCTGAATCTACAGAGATACATGTAGGGTTAAAACATTTGGTTTAAGCTTCAGGGCCCAAAATTCAACTTCCTTCCTGAATTATTGAGCAAATAAGTTGATGCCTTACTTTGTGCCGTTGCTCGTGTAGACTGAAAACATGGGGCCACGATTAGGACAGTGTCACAATCCTTGACCCAGATCAACAAAGAGGTAACCCTCCCCCACCCCCACCCCTCTCCAAAACAGAAACAACAGCTAAACCTAATTATTTACTGTCCGTTTCGACTCGGGCCGCGTGTAAACACTGGGATTAAACCAGACACTTCTAGTTTTAGTTAAGATAAACGCGTGGATTTAAAGACAATGAGGTACACTGGTCGAAAACAAAAAGAGTAGTGAGCGTAAATGGTAAGGTGGGTATATTTTCTTTCTGCTCTGGCTTTCAGCGGCTTGTGTTACAGATGCAGACAGATGTTGGGGCTTTGACACAGGCTATTGTCTGGAGCTCAGTAGCGGCGTTATGATACCGAAAGCATACATAAGCAGGCAGGCAATGGCTCATAAAGAAAATTCCTGCTAATAGCTGAAATATTACGCAACATTAACAGCTTCTTTATGTTTTCTGGTTAAAAACAAACGTGTTAAATAGCTGAGCTGTGTTAGCTAGCTGTCAGTGAGCGGCTGCTAACCACCCCGTTAGAGGCTGTAAGACTTAGAAGCTAACAGCTACTCACCTTCTTCGGTGTTCAGTGACTTTTCAGGGCAGCTTTCATCAGCGCCCCTTTAACCTCGCTTTGTCTCCTCACTCCATTTTCACTGTAGGACGGAAGGAACTACAAAACAAGGGTGCAGCAGCTCAGCTAGAGCTGTCTGAGCTGCGCTAGCCAACCACAGCACCTCCCTGTCTCCCTCCTGTCAGCTGATAACTCGGCCCAGACCAGGCTTCCGCTTTCCTGGGGCTTTAAATACTGCCCCCGAGGATCATCATCATCTTCATCGCCTTCTACAGTCTGGATCTGCCGGCAGGGAAGGCGTGCACTGCCCAGAGGAGTGATGGTGGATGACAGCGGGGTGTCGGAGGGAGGGGTCCGGACACATGCTCATCAGAGGGAATAAACAGGGACATGGGCTCAAACTGTCAAAACAATTAACTGCGCCCATGTAAACATTTAGAGCCATCAGGACAAAGGAAGGCTCTTTATGACTACTATGACATATGAGGACCATTTGGAAATATGATTCTCATGAATAGTTTAATACATTTGTGGTTTTTTTTTTACAGGGTTTTGTCAGACTTTGAAGTGGAGGGAAAACAGTACCTGGTTTTCAAGACCTGAAAATGTTGTCTATTCTCTTTAAGAAAGATGAAACTCCGTAAGGAGTCTGTATGTTAGACACTGATTCTTGAATGAATTTTAGATATAGACTTTGACTCTTAACTCATATGCTCCATGTTTAGGGTTGTTCTGCTGATGAAAAATCATGATGTGGATAAAGGGTGCTCAGTCTGATGTCAAGTGTTAGCTTACCACAACCAGATAGGATGTTAGACAGACAGAGTGCCTTTCTCCACATTTGTAGTGCTCCCTACATGTGGGAAGCTATTACAAGAACTCTTCATGGCTTTTCATTACCTAATCCAGCTCTAAATTTCACAACTTTATCCCTGACCCGTCTGGTGTGTTCTCAAGCAAACCTCTCTGAAACCTTCACAGACCGCTGATGATAAACTGGCCACAGCACCGCATAATAACTGCTTCCCATTCAGGCAACGGCTTTACACACTTCTTTTTATTTCAGCATCTCATGAGCAGTGTCAAAGAAAACTGCTCACTTGGCAGGCATTTATTTTGTGGAAATGTTAGATCACATTGGATAAATTGTACAGTTTTTTTTTTTCCCAACACATGAAAAAAAAACAAAACAACAAAAACACATTTTAACCATTTAATGAAATTAAGATTTTGTGTTTTCAGGTCCTTTTTTCTCAGATAGGTGTAAAAAGTTAAAAGGCTGAATTTGTTGTGACTGAAATGTCATCAGATTAAAACAGATTTTAAATCCAATCCAGTTTGATATTTAACACATTCAACTGACAGCAAAAACTGCACACACAAAAAAAGTGTTCTTGACTAAGTGTTTGGAAATGGTGATGGGACGTGTTTCTGTGAAATCGTGGGACATTAGTGCAAAAACATCAAAGTTTGATCTCAGCCAGATTAAGATAAAGGAACAGGAATCAGATAATCTGATTTCACATATCAAGCAGGCAACAAACCAGCTCATCTACGGAGCATTACCCATTGTTTATTTTGTTTTTTTAGCAGTTTACCTGGAAAATGCATGAGGACTGCAATAGTTTCCTTTGGTATCTTTGTGCTCTATGATCAACACACATCCAGAAAAGACACACACATACAATTAAAATCACAGCATTTGTTTCACACCTGCCCACATTAAATCAGTCAGTCACAGCCAGTGTCGCTAGTGGCTCTTGCCGATTTCACACCAGGATGGGCAAAAGGGACTCAAAGTAGCAAGCAGAGATTTCAGACCTTCTTTCTCCTTGGCTCCTCCTCTACAGCAGGACAGGGCAGAATCAGGTCAACCACACAGATGAAGAGTTTCCACTGCAGAAAACTGTGTCATGAGTCTTTATGCAGACTAGGAAGAGACCTGCTGATCCCTCGCCAGTCCCTCGACGGGAGCGGGTCAATAGGATCGTCGTCTCATGAATTACAAACAGATTGTAGTTTACTACAGGCTCCGCCTGCTTAAAGCGCCTTTCACCCAGCCACACCAAGGGAGAAAAATATCTAAGATGTTTTCCTTAGAAATCAAAGGAAGATCAAAAGGAGAAAAAAAAACTGCAAAAAAATGAAAGTCAATTTAAAGTTTTGACATCCCAGCTGTTTTGAGAACGCAACGAGAGCAGCATGAAAGTTGAAATGAATCAGGAAGGAAAACGGAAGAGGTAGACAGAGAACACACGAGGGGTCACAGGCTTTGACAACAGGGCAGTTTGTTCCCCCTCTGCCCATCCATGGTCGGAGGGACGCTGATGTCCACGACGTTGTTGCCCGGAGAATCGTCATGGGCAGATCTGTCTGATATTTGCCTCTGAGATACAATCCGGTAGATTTCTGAGGGGGGATAAATAAAGAAAACAACAAGGATGTGAGAGAGTGAAAATGGTTTGTATCAAACTGAATCGTTGGTGAATCTCTTCTCCTACCTGTGAGAATATTCTTGAATGCTTCTTCTACATTAGTGGAGTCCAGGGCTGACGTTTCAATAAATGACAGAGTGTTCTTCTCTGAATATAAGAGAAGACACAAAGAGATGAAAATACATCTTTAAAGTATGTTTACGGTCATTAACTTCAGATCCAGCCATTGACTGGCTTTGTCTGCATGACCACACCAGCACAAATCGTGCATCTCATAACTCCCTAACGAGCTACAAATGTTTTTAGACGTTTTTAAAGGCTGAAGGCTGTAGTGGTCTAAAAGCATGGAAGTACTTTGGTACTAACAGTTTACATATATAATTAATACTTTCAAGTATTTTAGCATTTTCTTGAATACAAAAACTTAAAAAGGTTTTATTATAAATAAATAAAATAGATGGGTGGCTGGATATGGCGTTTAAAAAAAATGGGACAAGTAATAAAGTTTGAAACAATTCTGTCCTCCCAGTCAGTAAATAATAATCATTATGGCTCTTTAGCATCTAAACACAGCCGAGCCCGTAATAACAAACATACTCATTAAACAACTAACCAGCGAAGGCTCGAGCCTCGTCGGTGGGCACGGCCCTGAGGTGGCGCAGGTCGCTCTTGTTCCCCACCAGCATGATGACGATGTTGTTGTCGGCGTGGTCCCTCAGCTCCTTCAGCCAGCGCTCCACGTTCTCGTACGTCAGGTGCTTGGCGATGTCGTAGACCAGCAGCGCTCCGACCGCGCCCCGGTAGTACCTGGCGAGGGCAACAAAGGAAGATTGAACGAGGGAGGGAAAAAAAACAAAAAAACACGACAAATAAAATGTTCATCTGAAATATTTTATATGTAGGCTTGTACTTTGACTGTAACATGAAATAATCTGCAAAACGACAGTTACAGGAGGACGAAGATTTCATTTGCGTGAGGAATAAACACCAACTGCTGAGCTACAATCATTAACCAGAAAGCATATTTCTAAATAAGCAACTGCTTTCAAAAGACTAATACAACACAAACTCACGCTGAGGTGATTGCTCTGTAGCGCTCCTGTCCCGCTGTGTCCCAGATCTGAGCCTTTATCGTCTTTCCGTCCACCTGGATGCTGCGGGTGGCGAACTCCACCCCGATGGTGCTCTTGCTCTCCAGGTTGAACTCGTTCCGGGTGAAACGGGACAGCAGGTTGCTCTTCCCCACGCCCGAATCTCCGATTAGGACCACTAAACGAACCAGGTACACATGTTAAAAAGCCATGTTGTTATGTTGTGGAGGGCTGCTGGCACACACTGGTTAAATTCAACCCCACCCTGATCACGTTGGCGGATTTAATGGGCTTTGTTATAAAACTGTGATGACAGCCTCGTGCTTATCTCATAGACGTACATTTATCAAAGTATGTAGTTTAATTTAGCTCCACACTCAGAAGCTGTAAAGCTTACATGATGTGTGCTTAGATGCACCAATTAATAGACAAAGAGATCAGAATCAGCTAATTTTTCTTTATTGCCTCTGATCTGGGAGCAGCGCATCAACTACTGGAAAACCCCACTCCCCAAAATTATAGGAATAATATTGTAATTCCTTCCGTGATGCTTGGTTCACAGAGTTCATCCGCCGTCGAAGAACCTGCAGCACACTTTCATAATGCATTACAGCCATAATGAGCATAATCTGGGTTGTGTCACTACCTGCTTCGTTGCACATGCGATTTGTTTTACATTGTGATTTTGAACCATCCTGTGTCTTTTTAAAAAAAACAAACACACAAATGACTCATTAGTTATATCAAAATGACAAAGTTCGGCTTCTTGGAAGAAATTAATAGGAAAAGAAAAAAGAAGGATGAGTCAGGACTTCTCACAGTACAGTAAGTAAACATGAATCAGTTAGGTTTCCGTAACGATCTCCAATATTTTTGAGGTTTGACATGACAACTTTGACTATGACTGGTTCTGAGCTTTGTTTTATTCTGAGGACGTATAAAAGTGCTCCAGCTCATCACTTCCGTTTGAGTTTCATAAGCAAACAGGACATATGTTTGGAAATTAAAGTTTTTATCCCTGACAGCATTAACAAACAGTAATCTAGCTTATTTTCATGTTGCTTTAGGAGTAATGGCTTCTTCTTTGCTGAATGGCAATTCAGGCCAGGTTGCTGTTGGAATCATTCTGGATTCATTCTCTTTCCAGTTTCAGCTGGAAAGAGAATGAATGATCTAAAGTAAAAGATCTTTGACAGATATTTTACTTTAGTTCTGGGTTTGATATATACATTTCACACCAAAACAGAGAACACAGAATCATCTCCCTCCTGAGCAGTGAGATGGATGGATTCCTATGGTGTTTCTACATGTACATTGCAAACAAACGAGTGAATAAAAACTTGACTTTGAAGAAAGTAACACAATTATCTCTCATTTTTCAAGTATCTGACAATAGAAAATAGAACCATCTGACCTAGAACTGGAACTGTGTAATCTGCTTCATGTCCAAGATATAAAACGTAACGTTTGTTTTTATACAATGTGTTTCAATATCTAGCTTTAACTGTACATATCATAAAGATGATGTGATGACGTCTTAAATACATACTTTAATTTTGTTAATAAGGCTTATTTAAGGTGTAGAAACTTCAGTTAGCAACAACATGTTTAACAGAATGAGCAATGTCAAAAATTGGAGCGTTTCAAATTATTGTTTTTGAAATGAGAAGCAGCTAATATGTTAGCAAACAGCTTTGCATAAAACAAATTACGAGCAAACATTGGACATCACGGGACTTCCTTTACAGAGACTATAGTTCACTCCACAGACAAGCACTTTGATGACAATGTTAAGACAAAGATTATGCGATTTCCAACCGAAAATGCTATAAACCGAATTACTTAGTTGTCTTTTCATATGCCACTTAGTGTTCAAGCTAACTTTAGCATCTCTGCAGCTGACTTCCTCACAGTTTGCTAACATCACGGAATCACAGCAAACACGGTCTGTCCGCCGCCATTCACCCACTTTCCAACAACCAATTACCTTTAAACAAATAGTCGTATTCATCATCTCGAGTTCCCATGGTCGACGAATATTTTTTCAACTTTGTATTTCCAACAAATATCAACAATTTTCTCCGTCTGCCGGGTAGCTAGCAACCTGGCACCGCCTTCAAAGCAAGCTAACAGCACGTGAGTTTGGAATCCTTTAGTTTGACCAATAGGAAGGCTAATCCTATTGACGGACAAATCTATGAACCAATCAAAACAGTTCTTTGAAGATGCCAATCAAACTACGTAAACAACGGAGAAGACGACAAGGTATTACTGCTTTTGTTCTCCTGACGTCCTGAAACGTTCTTGTCAGTTTTTTCCTGATTAAATCAAGTTAATGGTCCGAGAAAACATTGATGTTTATATTTTGACTGCTTTCTTTAATACGATATTTTATTTTGTATATGTTGCATATGTGACCCATTGGCAACCCAGTGCTCTTACTAAAAATCAAACATCTGGATCCTTTTAGAAAATTGCATGGTATTACACTACCTTTCAAAAATATTCATAATCTTTAAACTTTTCGCATTTTGGGACGTCACAACCACAAGCCTCGGTGTATTTTATGTACATTTAATCTAACAGTCCAACTTACATGACATGACACATAATTTTTTAAATAAATTTGAACATTCACAATTCCCTCACACCCCCACAAACAAGCCTGAAAGTGTGGCAGGCATATGTTCTTAGTGTCCTTTTAATCTGATACCCGGAAATAAAACTCAGTGGAACCAACTGCCTTTGGTCTGTCTGTATGTAATTACATCTCACCATAAGTAAAAGCTATTGTGGAATAATCAGCTGAGACTAAATTTAGCTTCTGTTCTACATGAAAAACATAGTATGTGAAGGAAAACTAATATAGCACACCAACCCTTGCAAATTCATTCTGAGGAAATATTTGCTTCAGCAAGTACAAGGAAGCCGGTCAGTGTTGACAGGATTATTTTAAATGGAGCTAATGAGCTCATGAAATATAGGGCAATTCATGAAGGAAATGTATCTGAGGCTGAAGAAGACTTGAGACTGGGACAAAGGTTCACTTCAAATGATTCAAATCAAAGCATCATATTTAAAATGGTTAAGTCAGAGACGCATGCGACTTGCACACTTGAATTATAGCAAAAAGTTAGTTCCAAGAGGCATTGACTTTTGGGATAGGTTGCAGCCGAGTAGAAGCACACACACTTTTCATACCTTTCAGAAGTTCACAAGTATACGGCACTTTCACATAAAATCCCATTCAATTAAGTTTGGGGTAATGTAAAAAAAGTTAAATTTTCAACTATTTTATTTTTATTTGTATGAGTGCTGCTAGATGTTGTAATTACATTTTTCTATAATTTCTGCTGGAATAAAGAAAATCTAAATATTTTCAAGCATGCCAATGATTGTTGAAGACACAAATGCAAGATAATAAATCCAATACGGAGCATGTGTCTGCTTCGCTGCTTTTAATGCCACTATTTTTACCTTTATACTTCATACACTATTTTCATATGACTACATCCCTCTTTAAAACTTCTGCTTTAAGCACCAGAACTAACAATACTCCATCACTAAGAAGTATTTATGAACAAACCACCTATTGTGACTACGAGCGAATTATTTCCCTCAGGAATAAACGCACAACATCTTCTCCATGGACAATTCATAGAACTGCTTTATTTCATATTCATTCTGATTGAGTCCAAACACACACACAGCCATCTATTTACTCCCATATATAAATAGATGAATGTACACAGATATACATAAAATACACTTTTCTGATATGCATATTTATTTGTGAAATCATGCTATGTCTTCTGCAACGGACTCTCCCTATCGGACGAGGGCACACGGCGATTTGAGAACACAAACACGACACGGCTTGAACAGTTGGAAGAATCCCTATTCGATTTGCATGTACGATAAAAACCCACAAGTCTTTCAGTTTCAGAAATCATACAAAGGAACAGCTGTGGGTTTTACGCGCCGTAGATGTACAGCAGCTGCATCTTGACAGACACACTGAAGAATGTGGTTTAAATTATGTAGATTGCAGCCATGCAATCGCTTCTTACCCAGCAGCAAAAATAAAACCAAATAAAAATAAGATTCTCCGATTCAAATGGAAAATATATTTGTATATCTTTATATATGTATTTATAGATTTATGTACATATTCTCAAGAAAACAGCAACGAGGAAGGAAAAAAGTAAATAAATACAGGAATACAGGTGGAAAAAAAGATATATAAAATAAACAATAGACCCACGTGTAAAACTTTCAGATAAGGCAAAAAGAAAAAAACAAACAGACTGTACAAAAATAAAAAAATGCTGCTGTGGTCTTCATGTGACGAACAGCAAACTGATAACAACTGGCCACTGCACATCAGGAGAACAAACGGATTTCTGTTTTGCATCGCAGACGTCGACGGGTCCTCCTTTACGCTCACGAGCGCATGTAGAAACCGGCTGAAGGAAGGAAGTCGCTCTTGAGTTTGCGAAAATGTTTTTAAGTTGAAACCCAAAGATGTGAAGCACAGACCCTACAGCAGACACTAACATTTAAAATGATACACACACGCACGCACAGTTGTAAGATAAATGTCAGCATCTGTGTGAGAGAGAGCGAAAAAAACCCCAAAAAACAACTACAAGTGCATCTCAGTAAATCGGAACATTACGGATCATTTATTTCAGTAAGCTGTGACTTTCCTGTTGTAAATGGGTTCATTACACGCACAGTGATGTATTACATGTGTTTATTTGTGGTAATTTTGATGATTATGGGTTTCAGCTAATGAAAACTAAAGTTCAAACTCAAGTTATGTATGACGAAAAAAGAAAAATAAAGCATATGATGCCCAAACAAACAGCTTCTACATGCACTGTGTAGTGTATGAATGAAATGCAAAGGTTTTCTTTGCAAAAGTTACTGCATCAATGCAGCGTGGCATGGAAGCTATCAACCCCTGGCTCTGCGGATGTGTGATGGAAGCCTTTCACAAAGGCCTTCAGGTCATCTGCTTTATTGAATCTTGTGTCTCTTCTATCAGAATTTAGAGAAACTGGATTTTTTTTTCTGCAAACCATAACCTTCAAATTTAAACAGAAAAATATACGTTTGAAGTACATTTCAAAATATACCAACCCCCCTCCCCCCCAAACTTTTTGACAATGTTCTGATTTACTGAAATGCAGCTGTATGACTTCTGCGTAATGTGGTGCGTGTTTTATTTGGCCTCCATCACTGGTTCATCGCTCAGGTCCCCGTATTAAGTGCAAACAAAGTTTAGCTCATTCACAAACTGCGTCAACGCGGCAATGTAGTGCGTTCATCCAAATATACAGATAACAGCTACGATATTGACTGCAAACACCACAACTGATAGTCTACAACTACAAAACGTCGAAACCGTTCACTCGGTGGGTTTCTGATGCGAGGAGGGGATTGCTAAGAGGAAACATGTCACTGATATTTACCCACCCGTCATCCACCGTTCGAACTCTGAATCCTTTTTTTTTTTTTTTTTTTCTTTTTTCCAAAAGGTGGGGCTCCAACTGGAAGACACTGCAATGGAGTTTAAAAAAAAATCTTCTCTCATGACAATGTCTGTAGCTTCCATGTGGCGAGTGACGTTCAGCTGTGTGAAAGAAAAATCCCTGTTTGTTTCAGCTCACTGAAAAATGTACCAACTGCATTTAAATGGCTAAAATCAAAGCTCTTTGGGTGCATTTAAGAAAGCTTTTTGTAAAGGAAACCCTCCTCCCACCCCCCGGGACTATTGGGCGAGTCCTAAAGTGGAACACACTTAAAGAAAGATATGGAGAAACTAATATAAATTACATCTATTGTGTAAATTCACAAAGACTTTTAGCTAAACCTCCCGTTTTGCTCCTTCTCTTATAAACTACGCTGCATGTTTTTCCTCTTCTAGGAATGTGCGAATGACAGAAATGTGCTGCCGATGGTTTTCGATGCAGAGCCCTGCAGGTTTTCTCACTGAATTCTCTCAAATCTGTTTCGAGTTTACACCATTTTAACCCCGCCGCAACATTTGGAGCTAAAGAGGCTCTCAGCCGAAGAACTCGGCCGGACACGAGGCTGCGGTCGACCTAAGAGGCGTTTCGCTCGGAAACCTTTCATCGTGTGACGACGCACTTACGCAGTTCGCCATTTGGAGATGGTTGTTTTCTTTGTTTGATCTAATGAGGACTTTTTTTTTTTTGGCAGTGCCTTGGCAAAAGTATGTACACTGAGATTGAAGATTAAATTGCACACAGATGGACCTTGTTTACATGTTAGTTGAACAACTGATTACGCAGAGCTGGACTCGTATGCACGCCACGATTTCCAGACTGTTATTCGAACGATGTTTTCTAAATCATGTATCAATTTATCTTCCGCTGCACAATATGCAACAGACATATATCAAATACCATCCAAGTAAAAATGTTTTCGGTTGTTAAGACACAATGTGGGGGAAAAAATTGCAGTCAAATGGATCTCTGCAGGCTCTGGTGGTTATATTAGGACAGGTCTAATCTTTGACAGAAACTGTGGTTTAATTCCCATCCCTTGCCAAAGTAGGAACCTGCACTGGCAAAGCTGGTCGGTTGGTTTTCCATAGTAATCGCTCTAGTTAGGTTGATTGTGGTTCTAATGTTTCATTTTATTTTGCTTTATTTATTCAGTCACATATTTTTCTGTCGTTTGGTCTCAAACTGTTTTTCTTCCTTCTCTATTTCCATTATTGTCAGATGTTACATTCAAGAAGACTGATCGTTTTTCTCTTTTTAGAAGTGCGTCGTATGTCCTGCAACCTAAAAATGTAACATTGCAGGTGCAAAACCCGTTGAGCCGTCCGTTAGAGGACGAGTTAGGTTTTGTCGCCCTAATAAGCAAAATTAATCAAGGAGCCAAGCTGGCTCTTTAGAGTGCAGAGGTCGCTGAGCCGTCCATAAAATAACCTTTAATTATGGGTTTGAAGCATCCTCCGGCAGGCGCAAAATTAAAATGCGAAACGGTGAAATGAGCCCGGAGCCTGGGACATAAAATCCATGGTGACATTGCTGGAAGGAGCAAATCTGTTAAGACCCAACAATGTTGACTCAAATGTAAAAGTGGTGCTTGAAGAGAGCACTTCTTGAACGTGAACCTCTGAAATGTGTCACCTGCCTTCTTCACACTTGTCTTTACAAAAAAAACGGTGCCTAACTCATTAGCTGTCTTGTACACCGCGGATGCCCAAACGCATCAGGGCGTAGGAGTACGGATATGTAAACAAAGTAGGTTTCATGTGTTTCCAGAACCTCCCGGCCTCTGTGGATTCAGTGAGAAAATCTGTTTAAAGTCTGTTCAGAGGGGCCGATTCAGAAGTGGTGTTGCATGTATGTCAAACATATACTACTACAGCCTTTCACAGACTATGTCACACATATACAGAGAGATAAATCCTTAAATCGATATAATAAATTTCATCTGTCGAGGGTGAAAGGCAGGGACGGTTGGACATCAGTAAATTCATCCTTTTCGGGTGTTTTTTTTTTTCTTTTTTTTTCCCTCACTCCTCAGGTGTTCATGTCACTTTTTCCTCCGGATATGCTTACAATCCTGCTGCACGCAGAGATCGTGCTTCTGCTGTTGCGGTCTGGACCTCGGACTGATGAGTCTTCTCTTCTGAGACGTTCACTCCCCTCTTTCTCTCTCCCTCCGTCTCTCTCTCTCCACCACAGAAACAGGGTTTACTGCAGGAGACAGACAGAGACATTTGACGTTACCTAAACGAGGGTGGGAGCATAATCTGATCTGGGAAAAACAAGAGCATAGAAGTCAAACATTTATAAAACCTAAAGGAAATGGGAGGATAGGAAGGTGAGCGCAGGAGCGGAGTTAAAACAAGGCATGCAGTTTTTTTTTGTTTTTTCCTTCCTGTGCCAACCTCTGAAACATTCAGCATTTTAGACCAGAACGTCATGTAAAAGATAAAGTCACGGAGGCTCATAAATCTGTGAAAATTTAATTCAGCTGGTGACTAAAACCAATTTGAATGATCAGTTATTAGTTGGTCAGAAACTCAAAAATCGACATTTTGTGGCCCCAAACTGAAATGCTACAGCATCCCTACAACTAGTGATCGTTTGGTCTTTACTACAATACATGAAAGTTTTAGTAAAACCCTGCTTTACAGTGACTCCGCCCTCCCACATGGAGACACATTGCCTTAAAGACAAATAAGGTATCAGTAGAGATCAGGAAACAAAACTCTGATCTCTTCTCCTTTACTGTAACTATTGGTTACACTCGATACAATACTGGAAAAAGAAAAAAAAACATTTTTTTTTTTTTTTTTTTTAAAAGGGACTCAAACGCCTCTAAGCGGCATGTTTAAGAGAAGAAGATGATAAACAATGTTGGGCAGACACACATGATGGCTGACTGTGGACTAAATGACCAGGCAGGCAGGCAGGCTGTGACCATTTCCATCCATTTATTAATGAAAAATGAACGTAGGGACTGGCCTTGCTGGACACATATCAAGCCTATTCTTGAAGCGGAAATTAACCTAGAGAGCTTTTTTAACTTTTTAACGAGCCGTCCTCTCCATCACTGTAACTAGTACCTCATTACTGAGCTGGGGGAAATCCCTGAACTTTCATATAAAGAGATTTTTTCTTTTTTAAAGTCTGATGCTCATCACTTACTGTCTCTCTTTCCCAATCCCCATCTGGCAGGGTCTTAGACTCTGAGCCATAGTGTAGCGGAGAGTACACCCAGGTCCTGTCCTCTGGAGGCTGTTTTTACACGCCCACCACAGCAGAGGGGGCCAGAGGGACAGAGGAAAAGGCCACAGGCACAGAGACAAGCAGCGGGGGCAGGCAGGAGAGAAAGACACCGGAGATCACAGGAGAAAAGACAAGACAGGAAATGAAAGATTAGGGATGCATAAAGGAGGAAATGTCCGAGACAAATCAGAGTGTGAATCTGACATGCTGAAAGAGCTAATCCTAAAAAAAAAACAAAAAACAAACAAAAAAAAAGAACATGTCGATATTAATAAGGTTGTTAGAGAGCTAGAGACAGAGAGAGAGAGAGATGTAGTAAATGTGTAAATACTAACAAAGCGTGTTTGAATCACATGTCTTTGTGGCTTTTTCCCTAATGGAGGAACACCAGGTTTAGGATGAGCTTCGGCGTCGTGCAAGCAGGCAGTATGAGGAGAGAGGAGGAGGAGATGGGAGGAGCCAGGATGCCGGGACAGTCAGACACAGAAAGCATCCTCAGACAGAGCAAAGCAAGTCAACTGGCGGCTTGTTTTGTTTTTCCCTCCACTCCCCGCAAAAAATCTTCGCACACCAGTGACTTTTTCACATTACAACCTCAAACGTATTTATTTATTGCTCGAATATTAACTCGGTGAACCAACACAAAAGTTTTTATATGATTGTGAAGTGGACAGAAGAACTGCTACACGGTTTTCCAACATTTTCAACGACATGAAGTCTGAAAGGTGCCGCATCGCGACTCACTAGAACTCCCTTTCACTTTGTTTTTTTTTTTTAGGGAAAAATGTCTCCGCTATGTAAAAAACAGTTAAATCATGATTGGTGTCCGAAAGAAGCGTATTAGAAACGGGTATATTTTTTAAGAGCCGCGTTTGTGTTTGGGGTGTTATAATTTTTGTGTCATGCAGTGAGAGCCACACAGCTACCTACTAAAAGAAAAAGAAGCAATGAATAGCTCTTGTCATCACTTTTGTTGTTATTATATTACCGCTAAATCCATCCATCCATTTTCTTTATATCCTTGTCCCTTAGTGGGGTCAGGAGGGGTGCTGGTGCCTCTCCAGCTAATGTTCCGGGCGAGAGGCGGGGTTCACCCTGGACAGGTCGCCAGTCTGTCGCAGGGCAACACAGAGACACACAGGACAAACACACACATGCACACACACTCTCACTCTGGACGCAATTTGGAGAGGCCAATTAACCTGACATGTTTTTGGACTGTGGGAGGAAACTGGAGTACCCAGAGAAAACCCACGCATGCACAGGGAGAACATGCAAACTCCATGCAGAAAGACCGGGGCCAGGAATTGAACCCAGAACCTTCTTGCTGCAAGGCAACAGCTCTACCAACTGCGCCAGTGTGCAGCCCAGTACCACTAAATATTGTGATAAAACTTTAAGTGCATGTCGCCCACAGCTACTGGCTGTACAGAAGTTCATTGAACAGCCTCAGAGGAAAGAGGGTTGAACACAAATGTACGCCACACTCGGAGACAAAGAATCCTTGCCACATAAATGCTCAGTTAAATACAATAAAGTTTGTTATTTTATTGTGGCAAATTTTTTAAAACGTCACACTGCTGTACATGTGCTGTTTACGGTATGTAAAGTCACACTGAGTCAGGTCTTCTTGTCAGGGAGTCAAATGCACAGGAGGAGTCGTCGTCAGTGAAACAAGCAGATGTGACTCGACTAAGGACAGCAATGAAAAGCCTGTCTTTGGTCTACCTTCCTCCTACTCTTCACTATGAGGGGAGATCAACATCGTCACAAAAACCTCCAGCGGTGTAAAAAGAACAACAAAAGAGAAAAAAAATATATATGACAAGCAGGTTCTCTAGATAACTTTGTTTCTTGTGAAGAACAGAGGGTCAATCTAGGCTGAGATCAGGGGAGCTACACGGGCGAGGAGGCTACTGGCGCACTTACTGGCCAACACAACTGGCATTTCCTCCTTTGCCTGAAGGGAACGACCACCCAGGTGCTCCCATTGGGAAGCTGAGACGCGTTGGACAAAAACAAAACAGAGCGCACGGCGGGAGACGGAGAGGCAAAAAAACAAAAGACAAAACAGAAAATAAAGTAAAACAGAAAATGATGAGAAATGAGGTGGGAATGGATGACAGTCCTGATGGTGAGACGTCCCCTGCAGGGATCCGTGGGATGAGTCAGTGGAGGGGCAGATGGGGGAGGGGAGCGGTTCACAACTTCAGCGTCTTTTTATATCCTGCCTTCGTTCATCACCACCGTCTCGCTACTTTCGGCGGTGACTCATGAGGACAAACGCATGACTGAGACAGTGAAGACAAAGATGGAGGACGGTGCAAGAGAAGACGACAAAGAAGTTATCTGAAAGGCAGGGGATGAATGGACGAAGAGTCGAAAGAAGCAGAAATGAATCTGGTGACGGCAAAAACACAGAGAGAACTCAAGCACAAGCTGTTCAGATTAACTCCTTTTTTTGTGATTAATAAATCAAAAAGGTTCTCTCTCACGGTGATTTGTAGTCAAATGTTCTTTTTTTTATCCATAAGGTATCCATCCTGCTTCAGCACAATTTGAACATAAGGGAAAACTTTAACCTGCAGGGGGAGTTTTTTTTGTTTTGTTTTGTTTTTGGCAGTGAGCTCCATTACCTCATGAGATATGTTTTAAGAAATGTGCAGCACAATAAGATATAAGACAAGATGACTAAACTGTTTAGGATAAGGCCCATAGCCAGTTGCAACACTCTCTTTTTACATTTTGTCATGGTAAAGCCATTAAAAGTGTGGCGTGCATTTGTATTCAGCCACTTTTACTCTGATACCACAAAATTAAATCCAATGCAACCTCTTAACTTCACTTAACTGGTTCACAGCTGGTCTGGGATGGATGTAGAGGTTTGTCGGAGCACATCAGTGAATAAACAGCAAAGTTTGTAGTGACGTTCGATAGTTGTTAAAGCATCATGAAGTGGTTCTGACTTGGGCTGAATCCAAATGGGCTTCCCAGTTCTCAGATTCAAATTTGTAATTTTGCACATTTACTAACAATCTGTCATTTTCCTTTCACTGTACGGTCACATACTACTTTGTTTTGATCTTTTGCATAAAACGCCAATAAAACGCACTGAAGCTTGTGGTTATAATGTGAAAAAATGTGGAAAAGGTCACTGGTTCTGATTACTTAGCTGTGCAGTTTGTGTGCTGCGTAAATTGATCCCAGTTCAGTTTCTGCTTTTATTATTGGGGGGTCTGAACTAGAGTTTCTGGAAGATCCATTGCTGCTTGATCCAGAGCACTTAATGCAGGTAAAGTGAGGGTTGTGTGGTTAAACATGAAAAGAGACCAGCAGCAGATAATGGGGTCTAATATCCTTAAAGAACACTCCTGTCATAAAAATAAACGTGATACTCAGATGTAAAAGACTTACTAAAGACATTTGGTGCTTAAAATAAACCAAATGTAATAATAAAGAACAAAAATTTCCAGAGCAAATTAGATTTATCCACAAACATATGTCTATGTTCATTTTGTATTTGTTCTTTTGTTATAAAATATCCAGGTTTAGGGCTGCAAATAATTATTTTAGTTATCAGATAAAACATTTGGCACATTCTGCAGATCTTTCATTTGACCATTTAAGCCTTTTTTTATTTCCTAAAATGCAATAACATTCCTTTAGTCTACACTTCACCGATTGTAGCAAAGGATGCATCTGCAAAAACAAAAAAAGAAAAAAAAATAGTCTACTTATCTGTTTATTTTTTGGTTTAATAACTGGGTATCAAAAGGTGAGTAATAAGAGATTTTTTATTTTTGTCTTTTACAGAATTTGAATGAGGTGAAACTAAAAATGTAGTTCTGGGTTGAGCATATTTACAGATAAAGAAGGTTTTTCATCTTAAATGCAAAATGCACACATTTTACACAGTTTTGCTTAAATTTCTGCTCTGTGTCGTTCTTTCAGCAAACAGCCTTTAGTTAACGATCAATTAATTATTAATCACGATTAATCACGATTAATCGCGATTAATCGCTTCAGCCCTATGCAGGTTGAATCTATATGAATGAGACATGCTTTCTTGTGATGGGCTGACGCTGCTCCCTAGAAGCCCCTCCTTCAGAACAGAAGCCCGCAGCTCGTCTCAGAGTGGCTACACTTCACCGTCAGTGTCACTTTGCTTCTTGCAGAAAACAAACTCCCCGCCGCCGCGCACGCAGGGAGCCTCTCTTCTCTCCTCCTTCTGAAACACGAGCCGGCCGAGAGCGCTGTTAAGTAACCGAGGAGCTCGTTGACTAACCTGCCTGTCATTAAGCTCTCTCGTTGACACATTAGGGGGTGTTTGATTCCTGACAGGGGACAGCCAGCGGGAGTTCAGGTCGGGCAGGAACGTTCCTCGTCAATCTCACAAATACTTTTCAGATCACAACCACAGACTGCGATGCAATTTCTCGCAATATTCCACAGAAAAAAAGGGCGTTGATGACAAAGCCACATATTTTATATTTTTGGCTGAAGAAAAGCATCCCCACAGGATGATGCTGCCACCTCCATGTTTTGGTGTTTTCTGGGTGATATGCTGCAGTGCTTTTTTTTTTTTTTTCCCCTAACACACATACTGTTTTTTTATGATACTGTTTGTCCTCTAACAATCCTCTGAGACCTTCAAAGACGTAATTCAATTAAACACAGCTGGACCCTAAGTACCTAATTAGGTGATTCCTGAGCAGACTTGGTTCCACCTGGCTTTATTTATGGGTGTCAGAGTAAAGAAGTCCACTTTCTGTTTTTAATATATTAGATCAAATTAGATCCAAACAAATTACAAATGTAACCTGACGAAATGTAAAGGTTGCGGATACTTTTGCAGGGTCTTCCAGCTGAGTTTTAGGATGCGTTACTGCCTGCCAGTGCAGATCTGTCTAAAGAAAGCCTGTTGCTTTAACAGGAACAGACATGAACACCGAACATGTCCAGAATGCTTCATCTGGTAATCGACTATAATCTGATGAATTTACTGCTGCAGCCTTGTTGAAAATCACTTTAGGGAGGAGCAGGAAAGGAGACATTCACATGCTGTTATCACAATCTAGGACAGCTCAGATAAAAGAGCTGAACAGTTTGTTCAGAGAAAATCTGGGGAAAACACTTCCTTCCTTGCTAAAAGGAGGATGAGAAAACTTATCACTCTCAAATCTGAAGCTGCCAAACTGCATCGTTTGTGGGTTTTCTAACATTTCTCTTAGTACAGAAAGTGAATTAACTTAACACAGCAAACAAGAGCTCAGCACACATTTATTCCCATACCGGGCTGAACCTCCACAGCTCCTCTCAGTGCCTCTGTGGGACGGCATCGCGCAGCTCGGTCAGTAAAAATGACTCGCATCGTTCACATGATGATAAGCTGATCAACCAAAAATAGAAAAAAAAAAACAAATGATGGAAGCTGATTTCCAACTTACGAAGTAGATATCTGAGACCGGCACGTCATCGTCATCGTCGACCGAAGCCTGGCTGGTGCAGCCCGATCCGGACAACTGGCTGGCCCCGTCGGGCTCCACCACCACCACCTCGGGCCTGGGCGGGGCTTCCTCGGCCGGCTCTGGTGGAGACGGAGCGGCGGCAGGGGCGGTGGAGGACAGCGCCTCCGCCGCCGGACAGGTCGAGGGCGCTGTGGCCTCTTCTGCGTCGGCCGCGGCTTGGGGCTCGCTGCAGTGAGATTAGACGATCTGAATTAATCCCGCTGCATCTCAGTGAATCAAATTCTCACCAGAAAGTTGGTTTGATTAATTCAGTTGAAAACAAAAAGTAAAAATTTTAGGGAGTAAAATATATTTGACATATTTTTTTTTTTTTTAGAAAAGATCATTTCAGTTATCTTTGATGCGCTAATAAAGTCTTAACAGTTTATGAGCTGAATCCCATTTGAGGATATTTAAAATCTGAAGTTACAAAAACTGTAAATTAAATTAAATTATTCTCAACATGCTCTTATTCCCAGTTTCTTCCACAAGGAGCGTCAGTCACAAAAAATATTGCTAAAGAGCCCGACTCTGTATCAAAACTAAAAAAAAAAAAAGAAAGTTTAGTGGAAGGAAAAAGTATAACAGAAAAAGGAAATAACAGTTTGTTGGTTGAAGTCAATTTGGGGATACTCAAAAGACAGACGAAGTCAGCGCTTCAGGGCCGCCCACACAGATGTATCCATGTATTTAGGCTACAACTATCAGATTCCTTTGGCTAAGCCATTTCCAAAGCAGAGATAAAGTCTCAGAATTCTGAGAAGAGATGGACCGGGCTTATTCTCAGAGGTCCAACGTCCTGTTTCACATGGAAGTACATAATATTCTACATTTCTGAGAATATTATGGGATTTTAATAATCACTAAAATAAACAGATATAAACAACAGGAACATATCCTTGTGTGTAAGGAATCTCCATAACAATCGATTTTAAACTACTTTTAATTATGTAATTTATTAAAATGCGTGTGCATGCGCCCTCTCTGACAGGTAAAATTTTGGATTTAGAAGACGACTATAAAAAGTAAGGAGCACTTAGGATTTTTAAGCCGCTTCTTTTGCCATTTCTCTGCACCTCTCTTCATGTCTCTCTTCTTCTTTTTATTTAAATCTACTTGGATACAGACACAAGCCGTCAGCCGTTGCTGACATTAAGAGCTCCTTTCTTTTAAAAGAGCAGGAGAACAAGCCGTTAAAGGAAAACCGGCGCCGACTAAAGCTCAGCAGCTGTGTGTGTGTGTGTGTGTGGGTGTTTGCGTCGTAGATGTGCAAGCTCATAGATCTGCCAGCTGGCTGCTCGCTGCCACGATCCTTTATTGTTCCCGGCCAGATCATCAACTATTAGGGAGGATTTAGGCGGTCCCGCTCCGGTTTCTCGCTTTCTGAGTTGTAGTTTAGTTGCATCGGGGAGACACGGCGGCAGCAGGGCAGTAAATCGAGAAGAAGAAGAAGAAAAAAAACCAAGCAAGAAACAAAAACAACGACTTGGAATCTCAAAGAGGAAACTGATTGGCTGAGCGAATGACCGAGACAGGCTGATGGTTGCCATGCAGAGAGACTCCTTTAAACCCGATCTCATCCCGCTTTCTCTCCTTTCTGCTGTCTCTTCTTCTCATTTCACCTGTTTCTCGACTTTCTTTGACTCTTACTCTTTTAATCAATCACGCCATTCCCTTTCCTTCACCTCTTCTCACATCCATCTCTCTTTTCTTTTTTTTTCCTCCAGCCCTCCAGGCCATACGTCTAGCCACTGCCTTCTCGGCATCAAACCTGATTATTCAGTTGGTTTCACTTGAGCACAACTCTTACACCCCGCCTGACCCAGCTCAGAAATACAGCCGAACCTGCTTCTGTTTCCCTTTCATCTTATTAACTGCTTGTGTGTTTTTTTAAATACGAGCTGGCTTAAAGGTAAAACTAAACAAAGAGATGCACCGATAGATCAGCAAGAGATTTAAATTGGTTTTCCTTTGATCTGTAATCAGCAGGTCAATTAAAAAAAAAAAAAAAAAAACAGATCCTTCTTTTTCTAACACTTGCTAAATGGATCAGTACTAATGCTGCGTTCCAGTTCTGCTAGAGAATGGGAAATTCTGACTTCCTAGTCGGAAAAAAATCAACTGAATCGCCCCAGGTTACGACTCGAAAGGCCCGACTTCTTGTTTTAATACGGCCGCTCCTCGCCTCAGCAGAAATAAGCTGTTGTTGAAACAATGTTATTCCATAAGACGCACGTCTAAAACTCATGCTACATGTAGCGCCTGTAGCTCCAAGCCGAACAAATTAAAAGTGGTGTTTGTGTGTAGAAAATAAAGCTTAAAATGATGTTTCTTAGCCAGCTCCTTAACTAGAGTGTTATTACTTAGGGTTTGACGTCAAATCCAGGTAACTTCCCAGGTAACTGGAACGCAGCGTAAGAACCACCATGTTGATCAGAAGATAATCCATACACACTTTCATGCACATTACTGAGCTCATTAAATGTCAAATAAAAGTTATGGACACATACTTTGCTGCATAAATTAAGATACTTATGTAAATCCATTATTTTCTGCTACGTTTAATTCTTAGAATTAAAAAAAAAAAGTTGGCCTAAGTCTCAATCAGAGCTCAAAGAAAACCTGATCCCTATTACAAATCCAATATCTAAATTGAAATGATAAAAAAAAGGTCATCTCGGCTACATGGGAGCAGCTTCCCTCAGGCCTCCTTACCCACTGTCCTACTTCTGCAGCCCAGTACAAATAGAGCATGTGGCCCCCCCTCCTTCTCACCCTCACCAAAAAAAAAATATTGGGGCCTCCGACAGCCAGAGTCTGATCCAAACAAAACAAACGCACTCTGACGCACATTTGCATGCATGTGTGCTCTTCCCTCACAACCCAATTACAGTAGAAGCCCCGCACAGCACCTGCAGCACGTTATCCGCTGAGAACAATGGACTCCTCACTCTAATAAACAAGCGGGATAAGCAGATTAGAGATGCGCATGTGTGACAGGTGTGTTAATCCAGCAGCCGTCGGCTCCGGGAGAAACTCTGAGCCACAAAGAGTGATTGATTGAGCTTTTATTTATCACTGTCTGCAAAGTTTCAGAGCAATGTCATCAGACGGTCTCTGCTAAACAAGGCTTCCCTTTGTTTATTCAAATTTTTATTTATTTATTTTTTTGCATCAACTTTAACTTGTAGGTCTTCTGTGACATCAGAGCTTTGAGGTTTCTGCGCCAAACGCTCCAGGTAGGTGTGGAGTAACCGAATCAACATTTTTCCAAGAGGAATGGTCAAAGATCTCATCCTCTGTTTGAACCAGCCATGAAAAACATTTAAGTGTTACTCTCTTAGTGAAAAGAGGGGATTGTGTGAAGCATCGGGGGTCATTAGGGAATGAAATAGCCATTGATTTTAAAAAAATCAAACAAAATAATTATCCTATTTTCTCCTATTATTTTCTTTCTACATTTTTTTTCTAAGTTTGTCAGTATAAATTCTTGCACCTGCAGTAGGAGAAAGACATATTTTTTGAAGCGTTTTAAATTGTTTTCTATTGTTTTACCAGAGGTGCCAATAAGTGTGGAGGGAGCAGGAACAAAAAAAAGAAATTTCATCAGGTGGCGCTGTTCTCATGAATGCCATCAGTATTTTTTGCAGTAAGCAGATTGTAATCGGATAGCAAATAAATAAATAAAATAAATAAAATGGATGTTTGCTTTAGACATCCATTTTTTAAGGAAAACAATTAAGGGAACAACCATGATTAAGTGAAACAAAAAGGTTTTAAAAAATACGCTTGTAAAATGTTTTCTATGCTACAGACAACGCAGTGCGTTTTTAACGCTTGGTTTGTTTTATTGTTTCTAATACTGAACACAGCAAGTGTCAATACAGCGTCAGACCATCATGGTCTGCGTCGCTCACCTGGCGTCAGGCGAGTGCTGCGGGGCGGAGATGGTCGGCTCGCTGTCGTGTCTCTTCAGCTCCACCTCCACCGTGATGGTCTGCTGGTCCTCCTCGCGCACACGCAGCTCCTCCTGGGTCCTGAGGGCACGCAGGACAACACAGGAAATGAGACATGCACACAGATAAACACACGCAGCCACGTCTTGGCAACGGGGAAACAGGGAGCACCCTCGTAAACACACAGGCGCTCACATTTTCTCTGCACCTCTCCACCCACCGCACCCAGACACGTTTAATGCTGTGAAAACACGCGGCGCCAAAAGCGCTCCGGCTTCGTAAAACTCACCTTCCGTCGTGGCTGAGAGACTGGGTGTGCCTCCTGAGGACAGACAAAACACTGTGAGCACGGGATTTAGAGGAAAACTGAAGCAGCTGGCTGGAGTGTAGAACTAGAAAATAAAAACACTTTACCAAGCTGATGATCTTAGCAGATTTCTTCCATCTCTTCTTTTTTTTTTTTTAATCATTAACATAAATGTTTCAGGTCATCAATCAAAGACAACTTGAGTAAATAAAACAAGTGCATTTGAAACGATGATTTTATTAATACTACTTATGACAACATGACCTTAAAACTGATAGCTGGCCCAGTCTTCTTCAAGGCTTTTTTAGCATTAGCTCTCCCATTAAGCTCCTAGCAAGAAAACTAATGTTGCTGTGAATCATTTTGCCTTCCTACGTTAGATAATGACTTAGTTATTGGTTTGCTGGAGTCCCAAAGCCACAGAAATGGGTTTGTGTCCGTTTCCAAACTGACAGATGTCAAAGTTGGTTTCTCAGCTTTCTGTGAATTTCTTTAGATTGCAGCAGAGTTTGTTCTTTTAGCCTACTTCATGTTGCCTGGCAGGCTCTAGTAAAGCCATCTGCTGTTTCTGCAGGTCAGGCAATGATGAATGAAATCACAGTTCATTCATTATAATAAAAAGTTGGTTTGCACAGCTTATTTCACATATTAAATAAAAATGCTTTTGTTTTTTCTTTTTTTGCTTTTATATATCCTAAAAATGGGAAATCTACGAGGGAGTAAACTTTTCCATACACTGTGGTCACATTAGAAACTGCTGACATCACAACATACAGTTAAAGGTCAGTCTAAAGGACTTCAAATGACCTTTTAATATAAAAGAGGAAACAGCTTAGCAGGAGAATAAAGCAGAGTACATTTCTCTACCTCATTCGTTTTAAATCTATGAAAAAGAAATTTGTTCTCTGTCTGAAAGAGATTCATTTTGATAAACTATTACAGAGAAAAAGCAGCGAAAGTGTCTTTGACAATCCAAAATAAATATAATATTTGACACCTCTGGGACTCAGTATTTCATAAATCTTTTACGCACAAACACCTGATTAAATGTTTGAAGTAAATCGACTTATTTACAAGTTTCACTTGTTTAGTAGTTTTCCGATGCTTCTTCAGTCTGTAACTTTACTATCTTCAAATTCAACCAAATCGATATCAGAGCATGTATTAATCAATGATTAAAATCTGCATCGACTCTGTGGGTACTGTGAAGTCATTTGATCTACAACCAAACGTGTCTGGCTGGTGTTGCCGTCCGCTAAGGTGTACCTGTAGCGCGGATGCTCTGCCGTGTCAGACGGAGATCTTTCGGGGATGGACAAAGACGTTGTGGACGAAAGAGTGGTGGCGATCGACGCCGTGGTGGCCTCCTCAAACGACGGGGGAGTACACGGAAGAAGATCCGGTCGACCTGGTAGAGAAACGACACGGCTTGACGTACTGCGCTAAAAGCTTTTCTTCTCCAAAATCACAACTACAAACCAGGGATCTTTTTTTATATATATATATATATATATATATATATATATATATATATATATATATATATATATAATAATAACACAAGAGAGACAGAAGTTAGCAAAGACAGAGCACAATGCTTACATTTTTATTACGACTTTATTTACCAAAGATCTCAGGAATCATATCAAATCGGTGATGCTGTGGAAAGACTTATCCATTTTAACTGAATTTTTTGGAGACTTAAAAAAAAAAGGTAATTGTTCTGAGATCAATGGATGTGATTGCAGCGTTTCACTAAAGAAAAACATATTTGTCCACGTAAAGTGTCTGTTGAAACGTTCCAGAGTCTTATGACTGTGGAACATAAAAAAAGACATTTTAAACACAAACTCTGAAATATATTTTATCATCAAACTATTAGCAACATCCCGGACCCCTTTTATGTAAGGGAGCAGGTTGCTTTTTCCACTTTTAATTTTCCTGCACCAAACTACCTGCTTTCAGCAGGCGGTATTTGTTTTTTTTTGTTTTTTTTTCAACTTAACCTGCCTAACGGTAAAACCTCTGATCTTAGAGAATATGAAGCTATTTGTTTTAAAAATACTGCACAAATATTGGACAATTTTACTAAAAATGCAGTCGTGATACATTATATTAAAACGTGGGCAAACAGCGCTGGTGCAGACAGAAGATATTTGCCCGGTAGTTATTTCAGGAGCAGGTGTGCTCAGCACTCACAAATGTCTTCGTAAGTATCGCAGGCACAACATTCACCTTCGTCCTCCAGCGTTGGGAAGCTGCGGGCTCCTCTCAGGTCGTAGATGTTCTCGTCCCTCTCAGAGGCGAGCTGGCTGGCGGACCACGCCGCACCAGGACCGGCGCATTTAGGCACCGACAACGACACGCGGCCCTTCTTAGACGGAGAGGACTTCAGAGCTGAGGCAAACGGCGCACAGAAAAGCAATCGGGACGCATTAAATGATTTGTGATACGAAAAAAAAAACCCCCATCATTGCTGAGGTCTACATAAGCTAATATGACTAAAGTATTAGCCCAAAGTTAGCAAAAAAAAGAAGACTCCAACAGCTCAGAGAAACATCTTCTCTTTAAGTTGTGATAAAAACTTCAAATACGAACAATACACTGTAAAAACACACAAAACTCTCTCCCACTCTGAGCCACAAGCTCTCTCCCACTCTGAGCGTGGCTCAGAGTGGGAGAGAGTGGGAGGGAAGACCGATGAGTCGGTTTTCTTCATTTTGCAGAGATTTTGCAAAATCTCTGCAAAACAATTATTTTTGTTCAATTTCTAGTGCAGCTGAAATAAGACAAAACTAACTTACAACTTTTCAGCAAGAAATAGAAGCTTATCTTATGTCAACAATTCCATAATATTGATGAAAAAAAATGCTACTTGCATTGGCAGATTATTTCACTTACAACATGGAAAAATGTCTTATAAGTGAAATAATCTGCTCATAAGATAAGCTTCTATTTCCTGCTGAAAAGTTACTTTTAGATTAGGTTTGACTTATTTCATACGTACTGCAATATTTCCACTAGAAACTAGACCAAAAACACTTGGTAAGATTTTGTGTTTTTGTAGTGTAGAGGGATCAAAATGACATTTTTCCCCTTTACATTAAGCAGCGCCTCTCAAGGCTTTCACCTTCTGCATCAGATGTTCATATTAAGACACGGCAGGATTAAAAATAAAAAACAGCGTGAGAAATCTGTGTGTTTCTGTGGCTCTTCCCGCACTCAGCTCCATCTGACTATTTAAGGGAGTGTCTGGGTGATGAAGTGAACTCACATGAGCTCTTCTTGAACACCGTGCTGCTCATGAACTTGAAGAACCTGTCGGCATAGAAACCCGGTCGGTGGACCGACACGGTGTCCTGAGGGAGAGATGGGGAGAGTTTATGAGACAAATGGTGCGTTAATAAAGTGATCAGATCCAGATTAAACTGCCTGTTTGTCCCTCTCCGTGTCCCGTTTCGGTAATTTTTTAATTTTTTTTCCCTCCGGGTCAAGCTGCTCTCCCCCGAGCGTCGCACACAGACACGTCTGCCACGGACGCTCCGAGACACCGTCAGACGAGGCAACAGACACTCTGCTTCATTATTTATGTATCAGCCCAGTGGGATAACACTGCCAACAGACTGACAGATGACACTCGGTGTTTGGTTTAGAGTAACAGAGCGCAGAAGGAGACCGAAGGAGACGGAGGAAGCGAGCGGGGAGAGAGAGAGAGAGAGAGAGAATCCGCGTTATTGGGTTTCTGCTTCAGCATCACTTTTACACAGCATGAGTAACGTCTTTTCCCACATTCATCAGCCGCGTGTAATATGAAGAAGGTCTGGAGCGTTCATCATAGTGACGCAGAGGGAGGCGGCTTGCTCTCCTACACGCGTCTTGTGAATTAGCGTGGCTCAGAGTGGGAGAGAGTGGGAGGGAAGACCGATGAGTCGGTTTGATCTCGAGCGCAGACTCGGGAGTGATGGAGAGCCTAAACCCGAGGGCTGGACGACGAGCAGAACATGAACACACGGGAAAACAAAATAGTCTGCCATCAAACTCATCTGCATGACTTGAACTACACGGTACACGTATTCAAAATTAACAGTTTCATTAAATGGACTCTGCAAATACACAAAATCTCAGCATTTGTCTAATTTCTACAGAAATTAGACAAAACTAACTTATAAGTAGCTTTTCAGCGAGATAAAGGACTTTATTTTAAGTCAATCTGTCCTCAATATTAATGAAAAAAAAACAACTAATTATACTAATTATGTCATTTATAACGTGGGAAAATGTCATCTTGTTATAAGTGAAGAAATCTACCAGTGGAACTAGTAATTTATCTTACTGTAAAGATAATCCTAACTTAGCTTTGTCTTATTTCAAGTGTCCTAAAATATTTCCACGCAAAACTAAACCAAAAGTACTTAAACTTTGTGTTTTTGCAATAGAGAGTTTGTTTTCCTGATCATTATTTGTGTCAATATCCACAGCTTTTTAGACCCATATTTCCAGACTTCTCGGTCCTCTTAGGATATTTTTGATGTATAAAGCTGAGTAGTAATTTCCACTGGACATCATTTACAGAGATCAGCCATAAAATCGCTGTCAGTAACATTAGGTGCATCTAACACGTTCATTTCAGTTAATTAATCACACAAATTGATTTTAATAGGCTAAAAATAATTAAAGTTAATTAATTTAATAAATCCTGAGCCGGAACATTTGTATTTTGTTGTATTTGTATTTGACGCCCTGGCAATGTCCATAAATGGTTAAGAAAGCCACTTCTTGGTTTACTTGGGGGTTCATTTTTGTTTCAGGAAAAACAATGTGATGGGATGCTTGGAAACAACATTGTTGTGTGCAAATTGTGCAAAAGGAGCTGGTGTATCTGACACATAAACGTCTGTGAGGACCTTATAAACTCACCCCATCATGAACCAAAGCCTTCCACGTGTGCTCCAGTTTCTTTATTAGCCTGGAGAAACAAAGCAGAGCAGAGGTTAGATGATGTTAAGCAGATCTAATATGGGAAACTCACAAGCAAGCAGTGAACATCCAACGAGCCTGCAGGCCGAATGCAGTAAATGCGTGGCGTAAAGCGATCGCGTCTGAGAAAAGTCGGGGTAAGGCTCACTGATTTACGATTCAACTCGATTTCAAGGAGGGTCACCTGTAGGATTGCAGAATATCGATGATCCCGATGTAGAGAAGAAGCCTTTCTCCTTTTCCATTTACCGCTGGAATGCCACCCATCCTGGAATCAGACAGGAAGCAAGGCGGAAATGAAACATCCGTCGTTAAAAGCGTGAAAACAGATCTGGGTGGCGGTCAGACTGAGCGGCAGCCTCGGCTCTGTCAGTCTGCGTCAGGGCAGCTGCGGTACGCCTTGGTGCTCCCAAATCGGCTTTTAACTGCCGCGTTAAAACCCGGCTAAACGAAGGCTGGCCTACCTCCTGGTTTGTACTGCTGAGAACAGATTGAGTATATTTTTGCTGGACGCCTTTCAATTAACAAGGAAAACTTACAAAAAAAAACATTTGAAGTTTTGGAGCTGCAATCTCCTTCCAACAAAAATATTGGTCTAATTACAGTAGATCATGCTACTTCCCTTTTATTTTTTGTTGAGTGGGTCATTTTTTGTTGGTTTGTTTTGAATCATATTTTTGGTGATTTTAGTTTTTAAAAATTCTTTCTTTGGCTCACGAATACTTTTGGACTGATGATTTGCGAGGACGGCTCTGTAATTAGTTTGTCATAAAAACTTTAACCTGTAACAAAAATAAATTAATTATCTCATTTTCGCGCAGGAAATCACAGTCTTGATACCAACGCTCTACTTTATCTCTAGCACTGATGATAGAAAATGAAACTCAACTTTTTAAAAAATCATATGAAAAGATACAATTCCACAAGGTTTTCAGATTTTTTTTTTTTTAAACTATGGTTTTCTGATACCCTGGTATTTCAGAGTGCAAAGACGGCCATTTTGTCAGTGCGCCGGTCAGCCGGTTAAACTCACGTGTCGTCAGTGTCGATGGACCCTCCGCAGGCGGCGCCGCCCTGGATGGACTCCATGGCGGTGGAGTAGAGGGCCTTCTGCTGGGCCACGGGCCTCTTCTCGTCGCTGCCGCCCTGTGACCCCTCCATCTGCCTCTCCCTCTCCGCCTGGTCCATGTTGTGGACCCCGAGCAGCAAGCTGTAGTCCATGATCTTAAAGCTTTCCAGCACCTGAGCACAGAACAAATACGGACGCATTTAAACGCGCAGCAGCTCACAAATATGTGACACCTAAACCTGAATAAAGGAATTGGGAAATTAAAAAAAAAAAAAAATTATTATAAAAATTTTGAAATATCAAACCAGGTAAAAGTTATTGTTTCACTGCAGACACATATATAATATCTGGGGTTGGAGGTTTTGAAAATTATTACAAGGAGGGGTACCAATAACTTTGCCGCTGGTGACTTTGTTTCAAACAATTATTTCCCAATAAGGGATGAATTTTCTGCAAAAGTGTTCAGTTAGATTGTGTTGCAGTAACAAAAGATTATTTCCATACACGCCGGTACCAGAGGCGATAATAAATATGTCTGCATCTGTATATGAAAAACAATCTTGCGCAGACACACTTTTCCAAAACACAGAGCCAGTAAATGTGGAGCTGATTTACTACCAAACACAGCGCTTTATAAAAAGTCCTGCTCATAAAAGAGGCTCTGAATAAAATAAAGTCTTCACCTCCTATGGATGAAAGCATGAAACACAAACATGTCTCTCACCAGACAGTCTCTCTGTAGAGTTTTAACCATGGCGTTGTACGTGTCCTGGTCCAGCATCAGTCCTTCCGGCATGTCCTGCATGAAGTCCAGGTCTTTGAACGTGGGCTTGGCCTTCTCCCTCTCCTTCTTGGATGCTCGCCTCTTGTAGGTGGAGCCCTTCAGGTCGTATTTGAGGTGCATGCGGACCACGCGGGGCAGCACGTTGTTCATGACCACCACGCGGATGTTCTTCCCGCCCGACTGGACGCAGTAGAGGCCGAAAAACTTGGGCAGCAGCGTACGAGGGTTCTGATTCAAGTTCTGAAGGAGAGCAGATCGGACAGGGGGAGGAAAACAACGGGCGACACCTTTGGTGTTAGAGGATAGGTGATGAGGAAGAGGAAATCTGCGAATAAATTAAAAAAATAAAAAATACTCCAGAAGAGGTCATTGTCTATTTGAAAGACCCATTTGTGCCGAGCAACAATGTAGGTGGAAAACAACTGCGCTTTAATTTTTAGGATGACTTTCAGATGAATTTGTTGAGTTTAATCATTTATTTCAAAATTTCTGATTTCGTGCATATTTCCCCTAAGAACATACATTAAAACATACAACAAAAAGTTAAGCAAAGTTTGTGGTAGGTGTTTCTACAGCTCTCAGGTTTTAATTACGGAAACTGCAAAAACAACAGAGAAGGAAGGAAGGAAGTAATGAAAAAAGAAAGAAAAGAGGAAGGAGAGAAGGAATCAAAGTAGGGCTATACCTAAACCCAGTTTGATTCTCTGCAGAAATTTAGCCTGACTGAACAAAAATAAAGTTCATGTTGTGACTTGAGATAATACTACGGCGTCACATTACTGCCAATACTCATAGCAACTCTCAGATCAGTTTTGGGGTAACCAAACATTTAAACAAGACCTTTGAATCTTCTTTTGATTTAGCTCCTCTTTTCATGCGATTCAGCCTGTTCTGTCACCGCGGAGCGCTCGTCTCCTGTCTCCGACCAGCGCTGAATATTTCAGTAGTCAGTCCACACAAATGAGGTTAGTTGGACCGGGCGCTCCGAAAAAAAAAAAACCTGCTTTGACCTTGGGAGCTGGGCCAGATCTGTCCCATTAGAGAAATGAGAGCTGGGAAAGAAAGCGAGAGCGCTGCTCCCATAAAGAGGCGCCGCGCGGCATTAAGGAGCGGAGAAGGAGAGGGAAGACGGAGATGCGGCTAAGAAGGCTGATCGCATGCTGAATGACCTTCGTCTCGTGGTAGGAACGGGTGGAAAGAGGCGTCACAATGATGGAGGGGATGAGAACACACGGGGGGAAAGAAAGGGCGTCCTCCGCCCTCAGCAACACACGACCCCTTCCTCCGATGTTAGGAGGGCAAGGGTGGTGACAAGCCGCCAGCGGAGACACGTGAGGAAGAGGAGGGTCGGAGGACCAGTCTCGGCGGAAAGACAGAGTGACAAAGCATGAGGACAGGGACATGAGGGAGCTACAGCCGGAGAGAAGATGGAAGGGACAAAACGAACACAGAGAAGCGGCTCCAGATCTGCTCCTTCTCCACGAAAACAGCAGTTTGCACATTTTTACTCTGATGTTTCTGCTGAAAGTCTGCAGCAAGTGTGTAAAACAGTCCGCCGTCCGCCCACGTGAGGGCGACTGCCCGTGCGCTCATTAAGCCGCCTCCTTACAACCCATTAGACCTGTGAAAGTGTTTCAGAGCTTGACCACCATCATGGGAAGGTCGCAGTGACCGTGCTGAGCCTCTAACATTTCCAACCGATTAGGCGTCACGTCGTTTCTTCTAGGGGTGAAATGGTTAATCGGGTTAATCGTGATGAACTAGTTTAGTAATCGATTAATCGTTAGCTGGAGGGTACAGACTTAGAAACAAAGGAGAGCTGTAATTAAGCCAAAACTGTACAAAATATATACACTTTACATTTTAAAAAAACAAAACCTTTGCAAAAATGTTCTATTCAAATTCTGTAAAAAAAAAAAAAAAAAAAATTCTATTAAGAATCTCTTGCAATCAAATTATTAATTGGTTACCCTCAAAAAATAATCACCAGATCAGCCGCAGACTGATTAAGACTCTGACATTAAGTCAAGCAGAAAGAGCTGAGGTCCTAAAACACCACAGAGGGGTAAAATTATTCCAACACTGGTTTTTGCCTGAGGCTGTCAGACATGAATAAACACCAGGCTGAGGGTTCAGGAACCCGAGAGGCTTAAAGCATCGCATGGACATACATGGAGCTGCTTCGTTCCAAAGCGGCTCGCGGACTCGGCCACTCCTGGTCAGAAGAGTCACGCTCTGTTAGGCTCGACTGGTGGACAGAACATCCGGCGAGAGCGAAACAGCAGCCAGTGGCTTACGAAACCGCCTGGCCGCGGGCCTCAGTCGGAGCTGATAAGAGCCTCTAATGTCTGTTTTGCATGAAAACCGACCGCAGGGACCTCCGGGTTCTTACATAAACCTCGGATCTAAACTGCATCATCGGCTAAGATGAAAGCACGAATGGTACACTGGAAAAACATTTGAACGTGGTTCAACTTGAAAATGAAATGCTGAATTTATTGTAATTCAGAAATTAAAGTTCATTAGGCACAGGGTCTAATCGTTGTGGTTTAAAGTTCTGATAGTTGGTTAATCTTAAATTGTGAGTTCATATAACTTAAAGCTGTGATTTAAACCAAATTATTGTTTCACATCATGAAAGGAAAATGTCCTCACCCAGCTGAACAAGAGCACAGTTCAGCATTATTTTCACTCACTGCTTGTTTTTAGCAGCTGTCTTAAATCCTTCATTGAAATTGCATGAGCGAAATTTCTGAGAATGAATTTTATTAAACATCAAACTGAATGCATCAACATTTATTTTTAACAATTAGTTGTCCTCAGCCAAAAAATAATAATAACTGCCTTAATAACACACAAAAAATGTAAGTTAATGTAAGTCACGGTGCAACTCAAGATGCAAAAACCTGCCGCTAAGCACCGTAGGAAATAGTTCTCACTCCTTCCTTTTCTTTTTAGTTTCTTTTTTAAGTGCTAACCGTAGCTTACTCAACTCTTGGAGGTAGCAAACAAGAAAAGGATAGAAAAAGGTGACAAGCTACTACTGTAAGTTTATCTTTCACAAACTCACACGTATAAACTCAAAATCTAAAACTTGCACCTAAAACTAGCCGCAACTAAGTGTGGCTCAAATGTTTTACAGTGTATGCGTTCACCTTTACGCTGATGCTGCTTAGGAAACTTTGCTTTATTAACTGTAAGGTAAGGTAAAGATAAGGCTATTTTATTTATATAGCACATTTTCAGCAACAAGGCAGTTCAAAGTGCTTGTCAAAGTGCAGAAAAACAGGCTTAGTGATATATGTGCTTAAATCAGCGAATCAGATGGACTTAATACCATGAAAAGTGTCTCATTTATTAGGAAAAAAATAATAAAAATGCCACCAGGTAGGAATATTTCTTTTGACGATAGCGTTCTGAGATTTACCCCCACATCTGCATTTATCAAACTTTTCAGTCATTCCCATACGTGCGGCTGGACTTTGCTTACCATGTAGTATCCAGGCAGCAGCTTCTGTAAGAACTCAGCCTCCTTGTGCATCACGGTTTTGATGATGAACTCGTCGTCCTTCGTAAGGTAGAAGACGGAGCCGCTCGCTCCGGGGTTGGACAGCTCGATCAGGGGCTCGTTACAGAGGGAGTACTGCAGGGAGACAGAAAACGGCCACACACTTAAAATAAATCACTGTTCATATTTAAAATTTTAATTCTAATTATAAATAAAAAAAAAAAAAAAAAAAGGAAATTCTCCACAAAAGCAGCAAAAAGTCAAATTGAAACCTATTTATTTCTACTTAAAAGAATAACTTTAGGTAAGAAAGTACAAATGTAGACCAATGCTGTTTACCTACTGCTTTGCTCATCATATTGTGAACTTTATGCCTTCATATTTTCATTTACTTTTTAAACGATCCAGGTACATTTTACCTGACTATTGGTACACAAATGTTTAATACGCTGCACGTCTGGAGCTGCAGGAGGGGAAGGATTTGTAAAAAAAAAAAAAAACATAGGCCGATTTATCTTTCAAACTGTAACCGTCTGTTAATGTGGGAAAAAAGAGAAACCATGTTTCAATCAAGCCTGTGTCCAGTCCGTTGGATCTGCGCTGTTAGGCTGCAGACAAATGATGCACGAACAGAAAACATCGGCGGTCTGTCAACGCGAGCTCAAAATCGCTCGGAGCTTCGGGCGAGTAAAGGTCAAAGTTGTCAACCAAGAGTCGGCGGAAGACAGAGGAAGCCTAACATGATGTTTATGTTACTGGGATTAAATGATGTTTAATAAGGACTCAGGAGATGAACCTGAACACACTTTGCTAGGGGATGATGCTGGTCCATCATTTTATGAAGACTATATTAATATGAACAACCTAAATATTTATGAGGATTCCACTGAGAAAGAGAAACCAACCAGAATCTATCGCCCTGAGAGCTAATTAGTTGAAATTCAGGAAAATACTGTAGTTGGTCACTTTAAAAATGACTTGCATAACCATAGCTTTAAGCTAAAACTGACGGACTGCATTATCTCCTTTATTACCATAGAAGAATGTAAAAACATCATCTATTCTACATGCAGAATATTAAGCCTTGTTCTGCAGGGCCATACTTATCCTTTCCTGTTGGCATTTCAACAGCGTAGCTTGTCAGGCTTTACATTTGCTCCAATATTTTTCTTAAGACATCTGCTTTAATACTTTTGCTACGTATTGAAAGAGCATTTCCCCTTTGCTTTGGATCATGTATTTCTTGTTTTATATATTCATTTTTCATGATGAGGACAAAACTGAGTGCGCTTGACCTCATACTGTCGACGGACGGCATTGGTGCAACTCAGCCTGACAGTTTTAGAGCGAGAGGCATGACTGTGGATCTGTCAGAGACAGTAATAATGTGCAGGCCATCATCCTGCTCTGGGACACTCAAAATAATGCGCGTGCCAAAAGGTTGTCAGCTTTTAAACGGGAACGTCTAGCCCCGACACCTCACCGCGGACTAATTGGACGGTGCTGAGCTGCGGAAATACGCCGATAATGTCCGCCGGACCAACTTTAGAACCGATTAGGTGATACTGAACACCTGAACAACTGAAGCAGAACCACCAGACTGCTACACAGCTGTCTGCCAGAAGCTGATAAAATGCTGATCACGCTCCCCATAAAATTATACGAGTTTTGTATTCCGTATTTTAATGAACAATTTGCTCACACCGACCTGTTGAAGATTTTAAATAAACGCTGTCTTGTTCTGTTGTTTGCTCTTAGCTATGCAGTTAAATTACACATGTGCAGGCGGAAAAAAAAACAAGCAAACACATAGCTAAACAGTGGTCAATTGTGCTTTTTCGACTCTAAACAGGAAGGTGAATCAACATTGGTTTTATACTCTGATGGAAAAAGACAACGTGTTCCTCCTCTTGGGTCTGCAGCCATACTGATTCTGAAACTTTCTCCGTGACTGAGAACGATTAAGCGTACGAAAACAAAATCTACTACAAACAACACTGGAAGTAAAAACAGCGGCTTTTACCAGGTAGTCGTCCGGCCTGATGCCGAACAGTTCTCTGAAGTAGCGGAAGGCCACAGGAGCGTACGTCTTAAAGCGGAAGTCTGGGAAATGATGGGCTGGAGTGAGATTGCTCCCTTCACTGGAGAGCAAAACAAAACCAGTAAAAAAATGATTAGGAAGCATTTCAAATGGCAGATTTAAATAAGCAACTACAAAAGTGACATCAAGCTAAGGTCTAGTTTGAGTTAAGTGTTCACTTGTAGTTCTTGTTTTTTATTGATAATCTGTTTCCTGTCTTCCCAGAAAGTCCTGTTCCAGAGTTGCTTTGATAGTTTTGGTCTTTTATTTCTGGTGGCTCTTGTGTTTGGTCAGGCTCTGATTAGTCACGTTTCTCTTTTATCCTAGTGCTTCGTTGTCTTTGCTTGTGATTTGTCATGTTCTTTATTCTTTCTCGGTTGCCCTTTGAGCCAAGCTTCACACCTGTTCCTCGTTTAAGCCATTACCTTCCCAGCATATAAACTTCTACGTCTTGTCAGTTCTTCCTATTGTGATCCAGGATTAGTTGCCAGGTCCTTCGCGTGTTCTCACGTCTCACTCCCAGACTCAACATGTCCCTTCCAGTTTGTTTCCTGTTTTGTTTTTGTTTTCCATTTCGCTTCATTTTCATAAAAACTGATCTTGCCGACCTCCTGCCTGAGTTAGGGTCCAACACCACGTGAAATTGTACAGAGTTCTTCTATTGCATTCTGGATTCATGAACATTTGACTGGCTTCTAGGCTACAAAATTTAGCATAAAATATTCAGAAGTGCATCATCCTGCAGGTGTAAAGTACTGACCTGGGGAAAAAGATGCTTTCCACCACGTAGAAATCTTGCATCAACACATCTCTCTCTGGCTTGGAGCTCAGGTTGCCGACTGTGTAACCGATTCCCAACTGGATGGCACCTTTCAACGCCGATGATGTGGTCTGCAGTTGGCGACGGCCGAAGAAAAGGTATAAATAATTCACTTGAAAACAAATCATAGTGCATCGAGGGGTTTTCCAGAGCGGTAGAGTAATCTCTTAGCATTTCACATCACCTTCTTGTACGTAGTTTCTCCTGAGGCGTCCACCCCTCTGTGGCCAATCTTCTTTCCTTGACCAGGCTGGCCTGAAGATGAGGGCAACTGAGAAAATGGACAGAGGCAAATAGGTCTTATATTGATATTTGTACCAGTTCAAACGTCAATAAAGGTGATCGCCATTATTTTTACAAGGTGTGGGAGTGTAGAGGCTCAGGCAGAAACTATGATGACAGCCAAACTAACCATAACTCAGAACACTGCTTACATAACAAAAAGGTTTTTATTAAATACAGTAACTGATACAATATTAAACACTTTACATCTGACATCTTCATTTCACAAGTTAAAGTTTGAGCTGACTGAAATCAAAGGTTTTCTTAGATTTTCCAAGTCTTGAGTCTTTCAAGCGTGATTCTAAGTCAAGAGATTTTAGAGCACGAGTTCAATTCATGTCTCATGTCTTTAAAATGTTCTTCAGTCAAATCTGAAGGTTTTGAAGAACAAGTTCAAATCAAGCCTCAAGTCTGTAGAGCAGCAGAGCTCAAGCATTTGGAGCGTTGAGTCCAAGTCAAGTCTTGAGTCTTTAAAGGACAAGTCCAAGTGAAGTCTGGAGTTTTTGAGCACAAGTCAAGTCCCTAGTTTTTAAAGGTAAAATCAAGCCTTCTGACATTAAGGTGTAGGTGTAAAGTATTGACCTGAATCTTTATATCACAAGTAAGTCAGTTAGTTTACAGTGCGAGTCCAAATAAAGTCTTGAAGTTTTGGAGTGCAACTTAAAGTCAAGTCAAGTCCTCTATTGTTATTGTTGTCCAATCAAAGTCTTTGGAGTGTAAGTTTGAGTCAAAACTCAACTCTTTAACTGTAACCTGAGTCAAGCTCTCAGACTCAATTTCCATTTGTGGTTTAAGTATCATGAAAGACATTTTACCGCTTTAATCAATCAGACCCAAACCCTGCGCTGCATATTTATGTAATTTAGAGGCTGAACTGGATGTCTCAAATGTTATCCAGGTAATGATATGTCTGGCACTATTGCAGGAAATCCCAATTGAACTCGAGGATTTAGCTGGCATTTAAGGAGAATTAAACTCTCAGCAGAGTCCAGTAAGACGAATTGCGATGTTCTTTTAAGGTTTCGCCTTAAAGGACTGCGCATTGTGGGTAATGCCAGAGAAGAGAGGCTTTACTCAGAGGAACATGAATTTGTGAATTTGACGTTGAAAATACCTAACATGTCTGATGTTAGTCAGCGCTGATCACTATGGTAAAAAAAAAAAAAAGATACTTATGATACAAATGGATCTAAAAAAAAAAGGCTGACTGGATGTGTTACAGTGAAAGATTTCAGCTCACCTCTGTGATGAAGGCTTTCCTGGCAGCTGCATCTGCAGGACAGAAAAGGGAGAGAGATGGCTGCGTTAGCTGCTGTGTGATAAGGTGGTCAATCACCGAGCCCGGTAAGTGCTCTCTGTGACAAAGTCGGATCCCCAGGGGAGCAAGAGGCCGCCTGACATTATGTAACAACAGTGTCAAAGACAAAGCGAGGCCTCCCGGAGCAGCTACAGCAAACAGAGACATCGGCTGCAAGGACGCACAGTCCTTCCTTAAGCCTTGTGCGTTACGTGTGACTTCATGCATTTGTTTCTGCTCTGTTGAAAACAAACCACACATCATACCGAGTCATTTAAAACAATCTCCAACTTTCTGACACTTAATGATTACTGTGCGAACTACCCGTTTGCCTGGAAAAAGCACAGACGCCTTTTTTTTTCCAAGTCGGTTTGCAGACGTAAATGATATAATGCGCGTTGCAGTCGTGCGGTCTTAACATCTGCTGTGTTATGATCATCCTTACTTTAATAACAGGATGTAAGCTGTAGGGAAAGGCAATCAGAGCACTGTTTTCACCAGGAAGCCCTGAAATAGCTCTGTAATTATGGACACATAACAATCGGCATAATAACGGAGGAAAGGGCGAGGAAGATAGGAAAGAGAAAACGCAAAACGAGCAAATGGAAGAGTGGAAAGAAAGCAGGAGAGGGGGATGAGAGAGGGCTTCAGACAATGAGAGGATTAATCAGCCTGTTCTGTTTTCATTTTAAAAACTTAGTGGGTGACATTTATGAAGGGACTGAGGCAACCGCAGGCTGACGGCTAAGGGGCGCAATCTGGCGGTAGGACAACTTGAAGCGTACTTTTCCAGCAACATGACACTACGGACGACGCCGAAGCAGACCACCGCTTTCCAACAGTTCCAAAGTTAAAATATTATTTAAAGAAACATTTTTTTCTTCCCTGGTTCAGCAGTAAATAACTTTTAGATCAAATTACATTGTTTAACTGCTCTTCTGGAGTCAAAACACTTCTTCAAACATGATATCTGAGCGAGGCCCGAAACATCTAACGCACCAAAAGAAATACACCTAAGAGGTGGAACATCCTCATGGCTTGATTCTGTTTCTGAATGAACTGATGGCCGCCCTCCTCCTCCTTCTGTCTGCAGGCCACTCGTGGACGTCCATGTGACAAAGCCAAGGCATTGCCACTTTGCCACTGCTCAGCTCTCCCCTCGCTCTGCCTCTCGCTTTTCCACATATTTGCGCAGAGGAGAGCAAACCGAAGCATGCCAATGAAGCTCCAAGCCAACTAGAGCGCTGCGGGAATAAATGTAAAGGAAAGATCAAGAGAAGGAGAAAAAAATGTAAATGAAGGAATGCTTGCAACACAGACAATTAAAGACACGCCTCTGCTACTTTTTACCACAGATTTGCATCTGTGTGTACACGCATGTGACTGAGTTGTGTGATGTAGTTTCATGTTCTAACAGTTTTTCCGAGCTCCTTTTTATTAACTAAAAATGTGCACGTCTCTGCTCCTTTTAGGAAATCTAAAAGCTTGTCTGTTCTAACAGATTAAAACATTTTTGAGTCTTTTTATCTTAAAAAGATCTTCCAGCTGGATTCCTAGAAGATGTGAATCAAGCAATCAGACTCAGAGATATGTGGAAATATATTTTGTGGCAAACATTTTACAACAATAAACCATCCATTAAACATCGCACGGATTGTTGGATGCAATTCATGTAAAACATTTGGAAGAGCGTCCAACACGTCCGTTCTTTTCCTCCGCTGCCATTGCTAAACTACAGGCAGACAACAATTCTAGAAAGTAAATGTCAATAGTTGACAACTTTTCCTTCAGTTCGTTGATTGGCCTGGTAGAAAGTCTAGTGGGGGAATTCAAGTGAAGGGGAGAAAGCCCAGACTGCGCTGTGAAGGGAAATGAGCATTGAGAGGAATTGAAGAGAAAGGCAATGACCAGGCTACTACCTGGAAAATATTACAGAACTTTGAAAAACTATTTGCACTTTTACATATTTCTTCTAGTGTTACTTTTATTTCAAATTTATGTTTTAAATAATCAAGCAAATTTTGATGACTTAAGTCCACTACGCCACTCCTGTTTTCCTGTTTTCAAGCGGTGAAACCTGCTGGTCTGCTTCATATGATGGTCCAACTGTATAGACTACAAGTTAAGTTTGAGGTGGGAAACTTCTTCCTAGATGGACTCCAGCAGGATTTCCTGGTTGAGAGTAAGAGTCATGATTTTACTAAATATACCAAGTCATTCAACTCCTAAACAAGCTCATCATACGTCCATTGCCATGGTTGACTGCGAGTATGATCCTGTCTTCTTGGAATATGGTGTTAGTTTTTAATTGCAAGTATAATTTGTCTTTTATGCATTGGGAATTATCAAGATTGTTTGTAGTCAACAAAGGATTTCATCTTGGCATTGACACCATTTTGCCGATAGTCCTACTTGTTGTTGACCAGTGAACATTACTTTATTGAGGCAAGTGATGTCTGCAGTACTGCAGACACACAATTAGACCAACTTTGGGATGCAAGACGCTTCTTAAATGGTTCACCACCTTTCTATGTTTTCTGGATAATGGCTATGTCACTATGGTTCACTTGAGTCCCAAAGTCTTTGAAAATGCCCTGCAATTATTCCCAGACTTTGTGTTGTGTTGTATTTGTCTACTTCATGTTGTCAGACAGGCTCTGTTTAAGTGATTTGTTTTTATTTTTACATGTCTGGCAGTTGTTTTTTTTAGATCTGCGTAGTGAAAATGAAGGTGAAACTGTTGGACAGTTAATTCATGACTTCACAAGGGGCAGGAATTACTTTTTCAGCCATGGCCAAGTTGAGTTGGACAGCTGAAAACTGTTTTCTAGAGTCATTAATCAAGTTATCTTTGTCTGACGTTGCAAATAATTTGATAGTGTGAAACATTTCAGTGTGACAAAATCTGCAACTTAATATTGACATATCATTATGTCAAGATGATATGAGAATTTTTTTAGGTATATAGTAATTTCAATTTAAACTATTAAGTTGATGTTAATACAGTATGAGCCACTTTATTAGAGGAACACCAAACCAAACGTCGGTGAAAAAAAAAAAACAACCAAAAAAACGAACTCGGTGATATTCTGGAGCTTTTAGAGGAAGTAATAACTGCTGCACAAAGAGACATTTACCAAATACATTAAAGAAAGTCAGTGAAAAGCTGAGAACCAATATGCTTTATGAGCAGGAGTAAAAATATTTTATTATCATTTCTTCATTTCCTTTTAACAGGTTCCCTTGAGATTCAGTTACAGGAGTCCTTTGAAGGAGCACATAAGGGGAAATGAATCCTCCTACACTGTTATGCGGCGCCAGGCTGTTCGGGGAAGGGAACAGCAAACAGGACCTTTCGAATGAATAGCTCCTTGCGCAGCGTGTTGCCTGGCTGAGCTGCTATGCCTCGGTTTACGACTGATTCTCGCAGCCCTTGAGGGAGGAGTCCATTGCCAGCTGGTAATGGCAACGCATGGCAAAGTGAGACGCAGTGACCATTCTCACACACAGACCCTGCTAGGGACGCATGAAACTAATCATGTGTTGAACCTGTTTACAGTAGACGGATGGAAAAATGTGCCGATACACACATCACCTTCCATAAAAATGCCTGACGAACCGCAGAGCTGCTATATTCGCTTCAGCTCATTCGTTTTACTTCTCATGCGAGCACTACATCACCCAAAAGCACCAAAACCATCCGAGCAAACACTTCATTAATCAAAAACACCTTTCGAACTCTACAAAAGGGAAACCCACTTAAAGCGGTTATTATGTGTCCGTGTCATGGTATATTACCTGCTAGCTACAGACAGAGGACAGGCACACACATGTGGAATGAGTTCCTGTCTGAACTTGCTTTGCAATGTGCAGGGGTTGTGCAGGCCTCCGTACTCATGGATAACTGGGATCCAGCAAAGACAAGCATGTCTTGTTGTTCCTTATGTCTGCTCCCTACTCTCCAAACATCTATGTGATCCGACATACAAACATCTGAAAATCTCACACTGTTCCCGATGTGCTGACATCGAGCTGTCACGATAACCTGCAGTGCTGTCTGTGTCCTTGACAATTTACTCCTGCCTCACGCACGTTTTCCCACTCACAAGCGCACCATTCCTCCCTCTTGTTACCATGGCGCCCTGAATTGAGGTCAACCAGCATTTTTATAACTAACGCACGTGTGCCCAGATTCAACAGACAGATGCCGTGTCCGTGTCCTCACATGATGCTGAATAGGGCATTAGCACGGCCACGGAGCGATATTTGGTACAGCTTACCCGTACACGTGGGTCCAGAGGGAGACTGTTGGCTAATGGTTCAAAATAAAGCCAAGAGTGAGAAAAGAGGTGGATGAAAGACAGACAGATTAGATAAATAGAGAGCGCAGAGAGGCCTGCATCAGTGCAGTAAGAACCAGCAGTCACCAGTGGATTGAAATAAGAAATTGCCAAAACGTATTTTGTATCTAAATGCAAAGTCTTTCTGCATAATTTGCCTGTTAGCCTACGGTAAAACGTAGTGTTTATATTTATGCTCACATATGACATAGTATGATAAATGATGAGGTCCAGACCTCTTTATCACTGTTAGGATTTTTCTGAAAAACATATCAAGAAAATATATATGGCATGTGGATTTATGTTGCAGGAAATCACTTTTTTTTTTTGGTCGCATGTGATAACAACATGCCAGTAAAATCCTACCAGGTGACGTTTCAAAGAATATTTTTGATTTGCCTCAGTTTAAGATTGAAAATCTGGAGTTTCTTACCGTTTTCTTTTCTTGGAAAAACATTAAGACGGTTAAAAAAATAAAAATTGTTCACTTAAGCAGCACATTGCTTTGTTTTTGAGTATGTGTAAAATATATTTGTCACCGTCTCTGAGATAGCTGGTTTGTGAGGAGAATAAACTTTGTTAAAGAGGTAGTACTTGTATCAAATATGATGAAATATGTTCAAATTACTCCCAAA